CGTCACGTCTCTTAAGTGTCTCAGTCTGTCCCTGCATCCTGTGAGCCCAGTGCTCCTGGATGGCACCCGGCAGTGTCTGGGGCTATCTGGTGCTTTTGCCTGAGCAAGCCGGGGCTGTGGGTTTGGGGGAGCCTCTCAGAGGGTGCCTGCTGGGGTGTAGTGTCTGCATGGCACAGTGCTGGTGCCATGACCTTGGGCCGTAATCTGAGTCAGCCCCGTCGTTTCCCACCCACTGTGTGCCTGGGGTCTGGCCCACGCGGGGCTGGGTGTGTGGGTGTGTGTGAAAGCCCCACAGTCGTTTCCCTCGCCCTGTGTGCCTGGGGTCTGGCCCACGCGGGGCTGGGTGTGTGGGTGTGTGTGAAAGCCCCACAGTCGTTTCCCTCGCCCTGTGTGCCTGGGGTCTGGCCCACTCGGGGCTGGGTGTGTGGGCGTGTGTGAAAGCCCCACAGTCGTTTCCCTCGCCCTGTGTGCCTGGGGTCTGGCCCACGCGGGGCTGGGTGTGTGGGCGTGTGTGAAAGCCCCACAGTCGTTCCCACTGGAGGACCTGCCTGGGGCAGGCGGGGCGGGCTGAGCCTCCTGCAGGCAGGGTGGGTGGGAGGCCTGGGGGAGTCCTGCCCATCCCCGCAGCCTCTGCCTGCCTCTCGCTGGGGTGAGGGGTCAGGTGGGCTCCCCTTGGCTGCCCAGGGACCCCTGTCCTGCCCTGCGTGAGTGTCCACAGCACCTGCAGTGTCCCTGGCAGGGCCCAGCGGGCCCTTTGAAGGTGCCCAGCACAGCCTTTGTCGCCAAGGAACATTCCACACCTCCACACACGTGCCATGCCCTGAACTGTGACCTGCACATCAGCCTCGACCCTCCTCAGGAACATGGTGGGTGGTGGCCTTGTGTGCCCACATCCCTGCTGCTGGGATGGGCTGGCATGGGGCCGGTCCCCTCTGCCGTTGAAGGTGCCACCCGTGGGGGCCCTTTCATGCGCCTGCACTCACACAGGCTGATCTGGGCCTCAGACGCCTTGCGCCTGTGGTCTGGGTCAGCACCAGCGACTGTAACCTCAGCTAGACCCTGAAGCTGACCCAGTTGTGCCGTGAGAGGAGGGTGTGCTCGTCTGACTCCAGAACACCAAGTGTGTGAACGTGGGAGGCTTGCCATATCAACCAGAAGGCTTGTCTGGGACGTCGAGGTGAGACAGATGATGCCAGGCAGAGTGAAGAGGGGTCCTCGTGCCTGCGGCCAGCCTGTACCGGGCCCTGAGCTCCAGGCGGGTGCCCCGTCCAGCTGAGTTCGGTTCCAGCGAGGCTGACAGTGCCGACTGCCTGTGTCCGGCACGGCGGTGCCGGTGGGCTGAGGGCTGGACCCGAAGCCAGTGCCATCTGAGCCAGGCGACCCCGGAATGGAGGCCGGGTCTGCTCTCGCTCCGAGTGTGGGCACGGGGGCCCATCGGTTGCGCTCCCCTCTGTGTGTGCCTCCCTCCCGCACATCCGGGTGTGGCAAGGCGAGTTTCCTTCACACAGCACCGCCTGGTATCCCCAGCCGGCCAGTCCCCGGCTAGATCCACTGTAGTGACACACTCTGTCCAGGGGCGCACACGGCCTGGCGGGAGGAGGTCAGGCTTCGCAGGTGGTGCCCTGCAGCCCGCCTTGCCTGTGGCATCAGGCTAGTGCACCCCCTCGCTTGGAGGGGACCGGAGTGGGGACAGAACAGTCTCCTCCCCAGAGAAAGTATGTGCAGGGAGGTGGTGGGGCAGGGGGCTCGGGCCCAAGGCCCAGTGAGCCTGCACCGAGCCTGAGGGTTCTGCTCCAGGGTCACGCCCACACTCACCTGCGTCCTCCCAGGTGTCCAGCTTGCTCAGACCTCACCTAGAGGGAGGCCTTTCTCCCATCCCTGGAAGTGCCGCCGTGGCTTCCATGCGCTGGGGGAGAGGCGCAGAGCCCGCCAGGCTGTGACCGCCTGACATCATTTCTGTCTCCGAGCAGGGCAGGAGGTTTATCTACGCCGGCTCCAACTTGGGCGTGGTCCAGGCCCCTGTGGCTTTCTGCGCGAAGCATGGCACCTGCGAGGACTGCGTGCTGGCTCGGGACCCCTACTGCGCCTGGAGCCCACCGGCAGCCGCCTGCGTCGCCCTGCACCAGGCCGAGGGCCCCAGCAGGTACGGGGCGGGGCGCCTGCACGCGATGCCCCTGCGCGCGACGCCCCTGTGTGCGTTGAGTGACGAGTGCCGCTTGTCTTGCAGTGGCCTGATCCAGGACATGAGTGGCGACGCCTCCGCGTGCCCTGGTGAGTGGCTCCTCCCCCTCACGCCTGCCTCGGGGGCAGCGAGGCCTCCCGGCCATTTCACGGGGCTTCGGTTCTGTGACACTGTGCGCATCTTGCTTTTGTCTCTCCTCTCGGAAGAGGGGTCCCATGTTGTTTGGCGGGCTCCGCAGTCTGTCTCCACGCCTTCCTTGTGGGGAGTGTGCAGTGCCGCTGGGAGCGTGTCTGTTTACTGGGAGCGCCCCAGCCCTCCTGTTCTCTGCTCTTTCTGCTCAGCTCGGGGTTGCGAAACAAAACCCAGGCCTGCCGTGCCTGGGGAGAAAGGAGCCGGGAGACAGTGGTCCGCAGGCAGCTGGGGACCAGGATGGCATTTCCTCGGGGCTCCCCCTGGGGTGCCCATGCCTGTGGCCATCTGGAAACGGCGCCATGACCAGAGGAAGGGTGGAATCAGGCCAGGACGCCCCATCCTCGGCGCTGCCAGTGGTCTTGGTGCTGCAGGCAGACCTGCCCCTGGGTTCTGTGCCTCCCCTCCCAGCACGACAGCTGTCTTCAGACTAAGGAGTGTAGGCGGAGGGTGCTGCGGTGCACTGAGAGGTTGACTCTCCGCGTAGCCAGTAACAGAAGCTTTTCACGTCTGACTCAAAGTGCCGCCACCAGACACCAGCCTGCCCTGGGTGCCCAGCCTCCTCCCGCCTGGCATGTTTTCTCCCTGGACTCGGGGGTGAGAAACGGGATTCTGCTGCTCAGAGGTGCCTCCGATTTCTTTGTCCCCATGGGCTGCCATCCAGGGCTCATCTTTTTGCTTCTTGGTCACGCATGTCTTTATCTCCTTAGTTGTTCTGGAACAGTCCGTTTTGCTCCGGTGGGTGAAGCTCTTGTGTCATCTTGTGGGTATTAACTTATTTTTTAAAGAAGTCAGGTAGCAAACAGGGTTGTTGATGCTGTGCACATTTATTTTAATGTTCCAGATAAAGTTAAAGAAAGTTACCGGCAGCATTTTTTCAAGCACGGCGGCACAGCGGAACTACAGTGCGCCCAGAAGTCCAACCTGGCCCGGGTGTTCTGGAAGTTCCAGAATGGCGTGTTGAAGGCCGAGAGCCCCAAGTACGGTCTTGTGGGCAGAAAAAGCTTGCTCATCTTCAACCTGTCGGAGGGGGACAGTGGGGTGTACCAGTGCCTGTCAGAGGAGCGAGTCAGGAACAAGACGGTCTTCCAGGTGGTCGCCAAGCACGTGCTGGAGGTGAAGCAGGTCTCGCGGACCCTGGCAGTGCCCACCGTGCCGGCTGTTCAGACAGAAGGCAGTCGGCTTGCCCCAAAAGTGTCAGCTGCGTCCACCCCGGGCTTCTCTCCCCGGACCCCAGCCGTGCAGGCCAGCTCCCCCAGGGCTGCCACCGCAGCTCCCAGGCCTGCGCCCACCAGCACGGCCTGCGAACCAAAGATCGTCATCAACACGGTCCCCCAGCTCCACTCGGAGAAGACCATGTACCTCAAGCCCAGCGACAACCGCCTCCTCATGTCCCTCTTCCTCCTATTCTTTGTCCTCTTCCTCTGCCTTTTTTTCTACAACTGCTACCAGGGCTACCTGCCCGGACACTGCTTAAAATTCCGCTCGGCCCTGCTGCTCGGGAAGAAGAAGCCCAAGTCAGATTTTTGTGACCGCGAGCAGAGCCTGAAGGAGACCTTGGTGGAGCCGGGGAGCTTCTCCCAGCAGAACGGGGAGCAGCCTAGGCCGGCACTGGACACGGGCTACGAGACGGAGCAGGACACCATCACCAGCAAGGTGCCCACCGACAGGGAGGACTCGCAGAGGATCGACGAACTCTCCGCCAGGGACAAGCCGTTCGACGTCAAGTGTGAGCTGAAGTTCGCGGACTCGGATGCAGACGGGGACTGAGGCCGGCCGCACGTCCCCACCACGCCTCCGCTGGGACACGCCCACGTGTGGGGAGTTCCGTGTTTCTTCCGTGCGGCAGCCGCGTCTCGCGTAGCCCCGCGTAGGTTAGCCCGCATCGAGCAGCAGCCTCCGTCCCCGTCTGTGTTCTCCTGGGTTGAGCCTGTGACTGGTTTCTGTTGTCCTTCTGGAAGATGACAAGCATCACGCCCCGCGGTCGGCCAGAGCGCTCAAGGGGTCCTGCGGGCTTGCCCGAGCCTTTCTGTAGTGGAGGGGGCAGCTGGACTCCCGCCAGCTGCCAAGAGCGTCCTTGGGCTCCCTCCTCATGGCAGCCACTAAAGACAATCAGTTCCAGATTGGAAATTGCATTTTAGTTTATCAGATTGGTAACTTATCGCCTGTTGTCCAGATTGGCACGAACCTTTTCTTCCACTTAATTATTGTTTTAGGATTTTGCTTTGATTGTGTTCATGTCTTAGGTCATTTTTTTATTACTGAAGCACATTTTAATATTTTGAATATGTGTATCTTCTAGATTTTGTTATATATTAGGTTAAAACATGGCTTATGTTGCTTAAGATTCTCAGGGATAAACTTACTTTTGCTAAATGCATTCTTTCTGATTTTAGAAAGGTAGACCTAAAACCATCTCTTGAGCACACTCACTTTTTTTTTTTTTAACTTTATTCTTCGAGGGAAGTACCGTTTTCAGAGAGATCTTTCTTTCTATGATATTTTTCCCTTCCTTTTTCTTTTTACTCTCTCAAAGAGGTCCGTCCCACGCCCAAGAGGCGGGTGGCCCGGCAGGCTAGGCGGGGCCGGGGCCCAGAGCCCAGAGGAGGGCGTGGCTCGGCCGGTGCCCATGGCTGCCGGTCACGACCTCCTGTCCAGGCAGATGGAACTGTCACGGGACGCCTTTGGTTCTCTGAACATTGCTTTTTCTTTTTGCCTCAATTCCACACCTGCTGCCCGTCCGACTTCTCAGTCGACCTGACCGAGCTGTCCGCATGGGAGGGAGCTGGGCATCGGGCGGTGGACGTGCACCCCTGCACGCCCTGCTCTGCGGGCCGCTGTCGTAAAGATGTGGACGCTGTACGATCTCGACGCTCGTCGATTTTGCACTCCGTCTCCCTGCTGTGTACATACCGGTTGAGAGGAGACTTTTTCCTGTGGCAGAGAGCAATAAACTCTGGACTTTGTGTGCCTGTGTGGACAGTCTCATCTTCCAGCGTGATGTGATTGGACCGTTTTGGTGTAAACATTTGTGTTTTATAAGATTTACCTTGTTTTTATTTTTCTACATTGAATTGTGTACATTTGGAAGGTGCAGGAATAAATGAGAAGCTTCTGTCCTTGATTTGGGCAGGACGTTGCTCAGTGGAGGCCACGCAGCCCTGTCCCCTGTGGCTGCCCTGCATGGCCAGGCTCCTCCTCTGCCGTCCGTGTCTGTCCCTGCTGGTTTGCCCCCTCCCCTGTGACTTGCTCCTGGGCTCCCTCCTCAGCCCCTCTCTTTTCTGTCCTCTGTCTCACAGCCTCATCTCCCAAGCCCTTCTCTCCCGGCTCCTCCTCCCTGTCCTGTCTGGGCCCCGACGCGCCCTCCTCTCCCCGGAGGAGCCTCTGGCCGGCCTCGGGGCCCGACAGCAGCTCGCGGGTCTCCTTGCTGCCGCCCTTCCTGAGTGACCAGGCACAGCAGGTGCATGTGCTGGGGACCTTCCACCTCTTCTGCCAGGCCACAGGTGAGTCCCTGTGCCCGGTCATCTCTTGCCTCCAGAGGCTGGCGGGGTGGGGGTGGGGCAGGGCAGGGCAGGGCCTCCTCCACAGACACCCGGTCTTTTCTCTCTGCCTTTACCATGCACAGCTGTCCTGGCTGTGTCCCTGGGTCGAGCCATCTCATTCTTTCACCGTTCCTTATTCAATCTCCTGAGGGAGACCATAAACAGCATGAGCTATTATTCCCAGTATACAGCAGGGCTCAGCCAACCTTGTAGGTGCAGAGCCCCATGTCAAGTGTTCTGGGCCTTGTGGGCTATGGGCTCTCTGTCACACCTACTCAGCTCTACTCTTGTGCTGTAAAAGCAGCTGTGGATGGTCTGTAATGAGTGGGTGGGGCCATGTGCCAATAAACCTTACTTACAAAAATTGATGGGCCAGGTTTGGCCCAGAGGCCCATTTGCCAACCCATGGCATTCAGGATTGCTTCTGTTTCTGCTAGCAATCTGGAGGGTGATCTATGTGGCATTTGGAAATTCTTTAAAGATTAACTTCAGGACAGGTGCGGTGGCTCACGCCTGTAATCCTAGTACTCTGGGAGGCCGAGGTGGGCGGATCGCTGGAGGTCAGGAGTTCGAAACCAACCTGAGCAAGAGCGAGACCCCATCTCTACTATAAATAGAAAGAAATTAATTGTCCAACTAATATATATAGAAAAAATTAGCCGGGCATGATGGCGCATGCCTGTAGTCCGTTACTCTGGAGGCTGAGGCAGGAGGATTGCTTGAGCCCAGGAGTTTGAGGTTGCTGTGAGCTAGGCTGACGCCACGGCACTCACTCTAGCCTGGTCAACAGAGTGAGACTCTAACAAAAAAAAAAAAAAAAAAAAAAGATTAACTTCAGGCTGGGTGTGATGGCTCATATAGTCCCAGCATTTTGGGAGGCTGAGCCAGGAGGATCACTTGAGCCCAGGAGTTGGAGTCTGCAGAGAGCTGTGATCTGCACTCCAGCCGGGCGACAGAGGGAGACCCTGTGTCTAAAAAGAAAAGAATTAACTTCAGAGCTTCAGAACAATAGTTGTTTTAATGACTTATTTCATGATGATTAAAAGCAGAAAAGATTGAGAGTCTAGGTCACTCCCCGGGACACGGGGGCGTCTGCCCTGGACTGGAAAGTATTCAGTGGTGTCTGCTTTTGCGGAAGCTGGTGGAGGCCAGTAGGGCGCTTCAGGAGCCTCCCCGTCCCCAGGCAGCTCCCGTGGTCTTGGTGTCCATGTGTGGTCACCATGATGATCAGGAGACACGGAGAGAAGGGGAGTGCACACTGCAGCCTGCCGGGGGTAGGAGGGAACCACGGGGGCGGGGTGGGGGAAGCAAAGCCAGCTCCTCTAATCAAACTACCAGAAGCTCCAAAGAGTCCTACGCTGTTGCCCATTTCCTGTTAAGCCCCGAGCGCCTCGGGATGGTCTGCATCCATTGTGGATCCAACGTGTCTGGCAGGGGATGCAGGCAGTGGACAGGAGGAGCCGCCCATGACCCCGGAGTGCCGTGGAACTAACCTCAGCTCTTCTGTAGGAGCTGGGTCGCTGTGGCCATGCACACGCCTGAATGCTGCCGCTCTGCCAGCTGCTGGCCTTGCGGCAGGCAGGCCAGGAGTCTGTCACACTCCATGGGCCCGAGGCCCATGGCAGCAAGTGCAGTTCTGCACAAGCTCAGGGTGGGCAGGGTGGGGTAGACTGAGCGCCAGGCCCCTCTGCCCTTCTTCTCACCTGGGCATTACTTTCTCTCCAGAAGTGTTCAGCCCCATCTGGACCCTTCCTTTCCTGTTCCGTCCCATTGAGGCCACAACCTGGAAAGGCTGTGAGCCCTCCTGGAAGGACCTGCTTAGAGGAAGGGGCGGCTTGGGCCAAGGCCGGGGCAGCACAGCTACGTCCTGGACTCAGAGGGGCTGCGGTTCTGCATTTGGCTCTACGGTTGGTCAGGGTCTGCAGATGGTGCTTTCTGCGGCAGAAGCCGCCCTGTGGCTTAGAGCCCCGGAGACTTTTCTGGTAAAGTGGATGCCCTCTTCTGTGTTCAGCTGCCTTGGGGACCATCCCCCGACAAAGGAGTAGATGAGCCGTTCCAGGTGAAGGCCCAGGTTGGGGACTGCACTGCGACTCACTGCAGGCACAGGCGGGGCCCGAGCCTCCCAGGGCAGGGCTGGTCTAGAACCTCGACCTGGGTTTTCTATTTCCTAGAATGCTGTTCTCATGGTGGTTACAGTGGTTTGGGGCTATCTAATTAAAGGCCCAGCAAAGTATTTATAGAATATGAGACTTAAAGAGAGGACATGTGTGGCATCCCCTGTGCCATGCACAGCTCTGCTGGGTCCCCCTGTGTCTCGGGGAGCGTCTCAGCGTCCAGAGAGGGGAGATTGGGGGCTGGGCCTGCCCTACCCAGTTTCCCCGGGGCCAGCCTGTTACCTGGGAGACTTTCCACCTGCCCCGATGTGCTCCTAGCTAGGAGTCAGCAGGTGACCTCATGTGCTCAGCTATTCGGAGAGTTAGAGCCCCTCTGAGGCCATGGCCCTTCCTCAGAGGTCCAGTAGGTCCACATAGGGGACATACCCCGTGGTGTTTGCAGAGGGAGGAGCGGCCAGGGGACAGACTCTAGGCCGAGGGCCTAGCAGCACGTGCAGTGGAGGTGGGAGGTGGACAGAGCAGAGGTGGCCGAGCAGGCTGGCGGCAAGCTGCTTCCCATCCCAGCAGGAGGGGAGGCTGGTGTTCCGTGGGGCGTTGCAGAGAGCTTGAGGCCCAGCCCACCTGTGTGCCCAGAGCACGCGCCTCACTGCCCATTCAAGGGGGGACAGGGTCGTGCCTGTGGGCCCAGCCAGCAGCTGGGGCGGGAGATGGGCCACCTGTGCCCCACCAGCCCTTGACAGACTTGGTCCCTGCTCTGCTCAGTGTTCGCCTCTGGGAAGTGGAATTGTCACAGTGGGTCCCTCCTCAGGGCGATGGAGGATGAGATGGGAAGATCACTGATTGCCCTTGGCACAGGTTAGCCTTGTCCTTGGGGTGGGGGCAGCAAGGTCCTGAGAGAGGAAGTTACAACAGCCAGGGTGGGGAGGTCACAGTGGGAACATCCCTTCTGCAGCACCCAGGTGAGACACAGGGTGGCAGCTTCAGGTGGCTAGTGTGTCCTCTAAGCATGGCATCTGGGAGGGCAAGGCTGGCCGTGGACCAGGCCCCCATGGCCCCCTGAGCTCAGAGACGTGAGGTCCTCAGGGCCTCCACGGCCGGACACTGCCCATGGGAGCCACTTGCCAGCTGCTCCTGAGTCCTGGGGGACCAAGCACACCAGTGGGACCTGGAGTGTCTCCGAGTGGCCACCTGCCCCGCCTTGTGCACCTGCATGTGAGGGACAACAGCCTTCAGTGCGTCCACAGCTGTGGCGCAGGAGCACTGTGCTGTGCAGCCCTGCGTCTCGTTTGCTGTCTAAGCTTTACGTCATTTCCTTCGCCAGGTCCTCTCATCACATGGTATTTCACTGTGCTGTTAGCTGCGATGGCCTGGGCTGCACCCCACACACCAGACACTGGCAGCACACGCACCACACATACTCCATGTACCCCACACTACACACGCACAACCCCCCCCCCAGCAGGTGAGCGGGAAGGTCGTGCTGGAGGTGGCTGGTGGGGGGAGGCAGAGGGCCTGGTGCCCAGCAGCCCCTCTCCCAGGCTCTCTCTGGCTATGGCCCCATCCGCTGGCCCTGCAGAAGTATCCACTTACTATCGCCTGGGCAGCACACAGCACCGGGATGGCCTGCTGGGACCCCAACCCCACCGCCCCTTGGCCGAGCAGGTTTGCAGTCTGCACCCAGCTAGCCGTCTCTTCCTTGTGGGCACCTGCTGTCAAGGGAGAAAGCAAACGAGCTGTCCCTTCTTCCTGTGGCCCGGAACCCTGCAAAGGTCCTGGGTCCGGCCCCAGGAGGGCCCTCCTGCCACAGCGTGCTGTGACCGAGGCCCCAGACCAGTCCAAACTAAGGCATGTGTTGCCCTTTTCCCTTCTAAACTCGCCCAGCCAATGCTGGGCGCAGTCGGTGTTCAGCTGCGTTGTTTCAGACGGCAGCACGTCTGGCCAGCCCTTCCCCTGGGTCCCTGAAGGTGATGGAACTAAAAACTGAGTTTATTTTCAATTGCACAGAAGTGCCGGTTTTCTGCCTCTTTGGCTGCAAGTGTCTCCCTTTCCCAGTCATTCCTCTGCCAAGTCCGAGGGTCCCAGGCCCGTGACACAGCGGGCAGGGTTTGCTAAACCATCTCACAGTGGATGCTGTTATGGATAAAACGCCCCAGGAGTGTCACTCACTGGCTGATGGCCAGGGCTGTCCTCGGGCCCCGGTGACTCTAAGGCCCACTGTTCGCTCTCGCCTCCTGATTTCCCCTGTAGGACTGGGCGTGCAGGTATTTTCTGTCTAAAAGCACATTGCACATTGGACTTCCATTTACAGGGCCTGAGCATGGGAGGGATGTTCTGGAATCTAGACTGATTCCGCAAACTGCTTGCTGCCTTTCATTTGAAAGGTAACCATTTGCGTTATGGAGAGTTAGGGAAACAGATGGTCCCCTCCTGACAGTGCTGGGAAAGCCACGTGCATTCAGTCGAAACCATCCTTCAGGTCCCCTGGCAACCATTCTTCACTTTCAGCACAGTATTTGCTCAATGACATAAGCTATACAACGCTTGCTTACAAAACAGGCTTTGTGTTAGTTGATGTTGCCCAGCTATAGGCTAATCTGAATGTCCTGAGCACATTTAAGGTAGGCTGGGTAAGCTGTGAGGTTTGGTAGGTAGGTGTATTAAATGCATTTTAGACTTAGGACATTTTCAATTTAATAGTGGGCTTATTGGGATATGACCCCGTCATTAAGTGGGGGCACATTCATACTGACGAGAGGAAAGGAGTCCGAAGCAGGAGAGATGGAGTTAGCATGTGGTCACGTGCTGCTCCTCTGCGTAATGAACCCGAGCTCCTGGGGGATCAGTTGGAATAACTGGCAGGCGACACAAAACCCCACCACCCGCACATAGCCACTCACAGTGCATTTGGCATACACAGACACGCATCGATGGAGATGCATGGTGACGTGCACGGATATACACGGCTATGCAAGCTGAGCACATGTAGAATCACACACGCATGCACAGAAATAGATCTGTATCATCTTTTAACAAAAGTGGGGTCTTTCTCTACCCTGTGTACCCCACCTTCCTTTCTGCTAGGACTATCTTCTGTGGCAAGTTGAGGCCTGGGTCATTTTCAAAGCTAATAACGGCTCCTCCATACTTTGGGTAGCACTGGCTGTGCTGATTTGGGATGGCCCTTTGTGTTTTAACTCCGACGTTAGAAGTCAGGGCTCATTAACCCACCGGGGTCAGAGGGCAGCCACTGGCAGAACCAGGTGCTGGAGCCCAGGCTGCGGGGGCCGCCCACGTCTCCTGAGTAGAGCTGTGCAGGGGGTGGTCAGCCGGCCCTGTCGTATTGAGGGCATGGGGACAGGCAGGTCAGGGGCTGGTGTCTGTCCTGGGGGTCTCTACCGCAGACCCTTCCGGGCCAAGACAGTCTCCCGCTTTGAGCATGAGACGAGGATCAGTATCCACTGACTCGATGACGGGAAAAGTATGGCACATCCAGGTTGGCAGCTACTCAGCCACTGCAGGTCCCCAGCCCACAGAGGCCTGTGGGGTGCTGGGGGGAGCAGCCCTGCCTGGCCGCCCTCCGAGAGGGTGGACGAATGGCAGTGGGAGGACGTGGGGCTTTGGCCCAGGGAGGATGGAGTGGTGCTTTTGGAGGCCCTGGGGGCTGGGAGAGAGCAGCCTGGCAGCCTGGGCTGGCGCCACCGCCCGTCCCCACTGAGGGCAGTGCTGGTGGGTAGCCCTGTGGACGGACTTTAACTCTCACTTTCCCTCTCTTTACGCTCCTCTGCCTTCAGAAAGAGTTGGATAGTTTAAGAAAGGATAAATGGAATGTAAGTACTTTAACACTTTAATGTCTTATCATGCCGGAAGTACACACTAATATTTGAATGACACTTAACTGCTGCTGAGGATGGCCGCACGCCGGCCTTGTCCAGGCCTGTTCATGCTCACGCCCCAGGAGTGCAGGGGACGGTCCCTGCCCATGGGGCCTTGGGGATGAGTTTGCTCCAGCTCAGACCACCCAGATTCCCCAACCCCGGGGGCTTGGTCATGACGACCTTCCAGAAGCTCCTGTGACCCTCTCCCAGCTCCAGCGCCGGGTCTTGGCACAGGTCTCCGTTGGGCAGTGTAGCGGGTGAGGGGGACAGGGCTTTTTCAGAACTGACTTCAGTGTCTGTTCAGAGAAGAGTTTCCCGTTACTTGATCATAACAGCTTAGGAGAACAGGTTCTTCAAATGCGAGTCTGCCCGGGTGCCCGTCAGCTGGGGAATGGCCTTGCACTGCCGTGTCATGAAGGCCGTGCAGAGGCACGGGAGGAAATGCATGTCCCCAGCTACGGGCCTCTGAGTGCACGTAGATGTGTGGGAGAGCTGCATTACATGTGTTTGTACATAGATCGATCAAGGTGTCTGTGGCTGGAGTTCAAAACACTTTAGGAAAAACAAATATAGAGTGATAGTATAAAAAACAATTCTGCACAAAAAAACTAAACCCGCCCACAAGGGCTTGTCCCCTAGGCTGGGGCCAGATGGACAAGCCCTGCAAAACACATTTGGAAACTTTCAGAATTCACTTCAGAGCTAATGGCATGTTTCTTTCAAAATAGCCCTTTTCATTATTATAAAAGCAGTACTTGTTTGCTGTAGTGATTTGCGAAACTCCAGGAAAGTATAAAGAAAAAATTTAACCCCAGCTTTAGGTATCTATCTGGAGGTAGCCACCACTGCACTAGCAGTATCTTGGCTATTTTAAGATCTTTTCTCTGTGCAAGCACATGACTATGTCTACACACACAATACACACGTGGCCTGGCCCCAGCCACACTGAGACCAGGAGCCACAGGGACAGGGGCACCTGTTATCCCATCCCCACCCCCTGGGGCCTGCTCACTCCTAGGCAGGAGCTCAGCAGGCCTCCCACAGCCCACAGCGAGCTGCCTGGCCTGCGCCTCCCTGCCGTGAACGGGAGCTGCACAGCCCCAGGAGACTTCACAGCCCAGGAAGGCGGTCCTGACTGGGGAGGGGACCTGCTGACCACACCTGGCTCAGGGTCCCCACCCTGCCTGCCCTGGAGCGGGATACCAGTCTGGGTGGCCCTCAGGGTGTGCCACACAGCCTGTTCTCCTTGAGGCTTGCTGTCCCTGCCCCACCTTCTCTCCTGGTCTCTGTCCTTCAGACAGGCAGAAGCCAGCCACGGTCCAGCCTGGAAGGTCAGATACACAGAGAGTGTGTGACGTAGTTGGCCCCCAGCTTTAGTTTTCAATAGTAATTAAAAGGCCCTGAGTTTGAAGACAACAGAGGTTTGGGGAAGCAGCCACAGCTGTGGGGCTCCGAGTCTGTGTGAGCGAGGCATGAAGCCCAGGTGGGTGTGCTGGGCTTGGTGGCCCCAGCCAGGACCCCAGTGCTCCAGCAGCACTCTGCTCTCCTCTACGCCTGCCCCAAGGTCCCCGCCCCGCGGCGTGGCCCTTCCACACATGCTGGCCGAGGTCTGGGCCTCTTGGCGCCAGAGAGAGAGCAGCTATGGCCCTGGTGACCACAGAGCCTGTGGGGCTTGTCCTCCATGTGGCCGCAGCACCAGGGTGGGACAGGACGCGATTGCAAGGCTGTAGGACAGGCAGTGGCACCATGCTGCCGGAGAGCCAAGGGGCCGGCGGGCCTGCCTGGGCGCGTGGGGCGCGGGCCGAGTCTCCTCCAAGGGAGGCCCAGGGACTTGTCACCACTCCAGGCCCAGCTGGGACAAAAGAGGGCCCCTCACCGGGGTGACCCTCTGCCAGGGCAGCTTCTGTGGGTCTCCTGGGGACTGAGGGACGTGGAGGTGGAGATGGTCTGTGTGCCCCCAGGTCCTGCGGACGTCCGCTTTGTCTGGGAGAAGAATGGGCGAGCCCTGGAGACCTGTGTCCCCGTGCAGACCCACACGCTGCTCAACGGCAAGGCCCACGTGCTCAGCTGGCTGCGGGACGCCATCCGGGAGAGCACCGAGTATCGCTGCTCCGTCTTCTCCTCCGCAGGGAACGAGACCTCAAAGGTGCAGGTCGCTGTGATGAGACCTGGTAAGCGATCCTCACGCCCACCGCGGCCCTTTCTAGGTGACCTTTCACCGCCGGCGAGGGCAGGCATAGTGAGAAGTGCTCTGAAAGCTTGCTCCTGCTCGGTGGCCGTTGGGTTTGGGGATTGATTACCCATTGGCTTTCCACTGAGGAAGATGAGGGTTTAGCTTTTCACTCTGCCTCCGCACACGCTCGCTGCCTGTCTCCCGTCTTCCCGGTGTGGGGAGTCGTGTTCGCGTCAGCAGGACGGCTGGGCCGCCAGGTCTGTGTGGGGAGGCGCTGCCCCGCGCTTCCGGTGCCTGGGGCCAGGTCTCCTCCGAAAGCCTACAGGCGCAGTCGCCCATCAATGCAGACACCAGTGTCCTCTCAGCCTCCCGCAGAGCCCTCTGGCCGCAGGGCCACCGCTGCCCTGGGCCGCCCTTACCTGGTGCTGCAGTGTTCCTCTCCATTTGCTCCTCCGTGTTGCGGTGGAGCGGGTCTGCCGCACGCCTCACCAAGGGTGCGTGGGGAGCGTCTGGAGGGCTTGTGTCTCCTGTCTTCGCGCTGGCGTGGTGCTCGGCGGTCTGCCATTCTGGCTGCGGATGGCGCCGCAGTGGGGAGGCGCTGCCCCGCGCTTCCGGTGCCTGGGGCCAGGTCTCCTCCGAAAGCCTACAGGCCCTCCTGTGTTTTGAGCACTGAAATCTCATGTCATCTTTCTTGGCCTTTTCATGCCTCAGCCAGGCCTGCTACATGTGGAAGGCCTTGCCCTTCAATTCTGGGACTTTTTTGAAAATATTCAGTATTTTCCACTTTATCCTTTCTGGAATAAATATTTTCTAAGAAGTGGGGCTATTAAACTGATACTAGAATTTTCCATTTCTTGTATCATCTTTTCCCCTCATCTTCTTGTTAGTTTTCCTCAACTTTATCCTCCAAGCCTTAATAATTACTGAGTGTTTTCATTTCTACTATCACATTTTTATCTCCAAGAGCTTTTGGGGTTTTTTTAAATTGTATTCTGTTGTTCCATGAACGCATGTCTTTTCTTTGCTCTGAGAATACTGATGATTTCCCAGTTTTCTGCTTTCTCCAAGGCACCCTCTTCTGTTTTGCCTTCTTTCTGCCGGTTGTCTCCTTTAGCTGTCTTGTGGCCTTTGGGTGTCTGTGTGCATCTGAGAGAGGGGCACACAGATCCCTGGGCTCTAGGCCTCTCCCCAAGGTGTGGCAGCTGAGCGCACCAGAAATGCAAAGTGTCTGGCCCTCCCCTCCCTGCAAGGATTCCTGGGCACACTGAGGCCAGGGGAGCTGCTCTAGCCGAGCACTGTAAAGTGGTACAGTGCCCTGCGGTCTTGCTAAAATGCAGATTCCCACTCAGCAGGGCTGGGTGAGGCCTGGAGTGGAGCAAATCTCACCAGCTGCAGCCCACATGCCTGGCAGGGCCTTGCCCTCCAGCATGGACCCAGCAGTGAACCTGACTGCGCCGCATGGACTCCCTGGCAGTCCTTTGTCCTGTGCTCTCCCAAACAGTCAGTTTTCTTCTGGAGCATAAGAGGGTAGTCCTCGGCTGGGCTACCAGGCGATCACCAGCCTGGGAGGCAAGGTGCATCTCAGCACAGTGCCCAAACTGCCGGGCCTTTCTGTGGGTTGTTCCTTGGTTTTCCCAGTGCCAGCCCTGGACTCAGCCTTCTTGCGTCTGCTGAGTCAGTATGCTTGTCTCTGTTTTCCAACGTCAGGTTCTTGCTGTTTCTTCTCCTGGTCTGTCTTTTCAGGCTTATGTATATATATTTTTAACCACTTTAGTATGGTGCTCAAAGGCTGCGACACCTTGCCCACAGCTGGCACTCAAAGTCCAGATAGTCTGTGCTGTGCATTGACGACGACTCTGTTTCGCTCTTGTGTGATGAGGACAGCTTTAAAGCATTGACAGCTTGTTTCACTTTACAGGCAGCTTTACTTGTCATGTAAATCAGAATAGGTGACATATACATGTATGTTTTCATGACATTATGTTTAAATGTTCACGATTCTATTTTGATAAATGAAAAATTAGAAAAGTCGTATCAGCGGCTGTTGGCTAAAGTCGCTGTACGGGTTCATCTGTGGCCATCAACTATAGGCGACACCAGGCTGCGCGCGCCCATCTATGGCTGCAGACTATGGTCGACACTCGTACCGAAGTGGTTAAAAGGATCCCCTTATTCTCATGTTAGTGGAGGTGTAGGAGGGAGAAGAGTAGTTGCAAACATTCACTCCTACCTGAGCTTCAGTTCTCATTTCTGTGAAGTGCCCTGCCTGTTCTGACCCACAGGTTGCTGTCAGGATAAAAGGTGACTTACAAATTGTGAAATCCTTCCCAGGAACTAGGGGGACTGTGCTGTCTGCCATGTAGTCACTAGAAGAGAAGCAGCAGGCCCTGGGCAGTCGGAAGCCCATTGATGTTTTGCCTCATCTAATTCACTTATCTTATGAGATGTAGGTGCTGCTGCTATCCCCACTTCCTAGATGGTGAAACAGAAGCCCAGAAAGGTTAAGTGACTTGCTTGACGTCACACAGCTCAGAAGCCAGGAAAGAGTGGGACCTGACTTTCAACATGGGCAACTGAATGCCTGAATGACTGTAAGGACACTCACACAAAAGAGGCAGGAGTTAAAAGGCATAATTACGGTTCAGACCGTTCAGTATTTCCTCATCCCCTCCCCACAGCGTGGTTTTGAAGGTGTAGGTAGTGCTGCAGCAGGATGTGTTTAGAAAAGATGATTCTCTACTAATGTGCCCCCCCCACACCCCCATGTGTTGTCAGAATCAGAGGCAGACCCCTTTGGAGTTAGGAATTGCCCCTACGCTGGGCACGGTGGCTCACACTTGTAATCCCAGCACTCTGGGAGGCCGTGGAGGGAGGGCTGCTTGAGGCCAGGAGTTTGAGACCAGCCTAGAAAACATAAAGACTCCACCTCTACTAAAAAAAAACCCCAAAACAAAAAGTAGACAAATAAATCAGCTGGGTGTGGTGGCAGGTGCCTGTAGTCTCAGCTACTCAGGAAGCTGAGGTAGGAGGATCACTTGAGCCCAGGAATTCAGGGCTGCAGTGAGCTATGATTGTGCCACTGCACTCCAGCCTGTGTGACAGAGACACTGGCTCTAAACAAAAACAAAAAACAAAAAGAAGATTGGTCCTAGAACACTTGCTTCCCTTCAGGGAGGGCTAGCCACAGGCTGGGTGGGTGCCTAGCACCCGCACAGACCACTGGGGCGTCTACTTAATTCTGTTCGGCACATCAGTCCTGCTTTGTGTCTAGAGGGCTCATATTCTTAGAACGTGTCTGAAATCAGTGACAAGAACGCATCGTATGAAGAAGTATCTTTGTTCTCGTGTTTACAAAAAAAAAAAAGCATGGCTGAGAGGTCTGTGTCATTGTGACAGCCACACAGAGACGGGAATCAGGGTTCAGGATGGAGCACATGGGGAAGGCTGTGGGGAACGAGTGGCAGTGCTATAATGTCCCCAGAACACAGCCATGCTGGCTTCCCAAGATGCCACCAGCCTTGGTGAGAGCCAGCTTCTGCTCTCCAGGGAAAAGGAAGAAGCCACGGGCCCCATCCCTCCCAGACCCAGGGTCTCTGCAATGTCCCACGGCATGGTAGTGAGCCCCTCTGCCAGGCAGGAACACAAGGTGCCAATGCGAGGTCAGAGGGCAGCTGTTGCCGGTACCAACTGTGGAACTGCTGCTTGGAAGCAGCCACAGGTGAGGAAGGTGAGAGGCCTGACACCCCAGATCACACGCTGGCCCCCAAGTGGGCTGGCAGCCTTACCATAGTGTGGCTCAGCCAGTGAAGGGGCCTCACCAGTGGGCTGGGCTCCTGGGAGAGGTCAGTGGGCCTAGAGCTGGGGCTCGCCACGGCAGCCAGTGGCCTCAGCGTTTGGGGTACCCTGGAGGCCTGCAGAGTAGTCACTTCGCCTTGCCTGCCTTCCAGAAGCAACCCACCAGAAGTGGAGCAGAGAGCTTGCCGCTTGGAGGGCTGTGGTCGGGGAGCACGACCAGATGATGCAGAGCTGGAGGAAGGCGTGGGTATGTGGCTGCAGCCAGGCCCCAGGGGGGTGGAGGTCAGCAGGGCAGCCGCCACCTCCGGGCAATCTTTCGGGGCCTCTCCTGCCACGGGCCCCACTCACTTCCTCTCGGCCCCATGGCAGTTCTGCTTTTTGAAACCTGCAGCCCCAGGGGAATCCCAAGTCTTGCCGAGGCTGGAGGGGATCAGGGCCCTGACCCTGGCCCTTAAGACTACAGTGAGGGAGTGGGGGTGCAGGGACAGGGCCTGCTGTCTGGTTACACGGGCCCCCACGGCCACCCCATCCCTGGACAGAGCACTCGGTGAGTCACTGCTTTGACTGAGCATGAAACCTTAGACACGTGGGCTCCCTCTGGGGCGATGCTTGGCAGGGAGCTGTAGCTGGGGCAGGGGGAGATGGCTTCCTGAGCTGAGCCCGGTGGGGCCAGGCCCCAGCACCGAGGCGGCAGGCAGAGGCTCCCCAGGCAGGGCTCCTGCACGGAGGCAGAGGCTGTCCTGCCAAGGTTCCCAAGTTGCCAGCACGGCCTTCTTGACTGCCACCAGAAGGCCAAGCGAGACTGGGCATTGGATGCGCTGCCACACAGCATGGGGGTCTGCAACAGCTCAAACCAAGAGCCTCGGAACACTGGGGGCGACATGGCTGCCACAGGCTGGGCATTTACAATCGATGGCTCCTATGTTAGCATGTGAGAGCACCCTCTCCCCAAAACCCCTCCCTCTCAGCACATCTGGGGCGGGCAGGCTGGCTGCCCTGAGCGCTTGTCTGAGAACACAAGACCCACAGCCGTGCAGATGGGCTGCCTTTGCCTTGCTGCCCGTGTGGAAACCACCCGGTGCACGGCCCGTCAGGCCCAACAGGAAAGGCTCAGCCGTTACGGCTCGGCCTGGGCTTGTCTGTGGGGACAGCGGGAGGCAAAGCGAGAAAGGTCCGTCTGCTCTGTCTAGGGCCCAACACCATGTTGTTCTTCCAGGAAAGCTGTAGCAAGGACACCTCATAGCCACCAAGAGGCAGTTCCTGACCAGACCCTGATGCCACCAGCCACTGCCAACCCTGGAGGACCAGGCATACACGGTAGCGAGCTATCTCACCCCAGCCTGCTCTAGACACAGCCATCGAGCCATCGGGCCATCGCCTGACAGACCCTCCTGGGGGCTGCGCATGCCTGCGACAGGAACCGGACTTTTTAAGAAATGAGATGTCTGGCAGAAGTGCGCAAGCAGGATGGCTAATAGCCTACAGTAGCAGCTCTGGTGACAGCACCGGGTACAGGCTCCTTCTCCAGAAAGTCGTCATGCCTTAAGGGCCACTCGTACAAGATCCCAGTGACCTTTTATGCAGTCCCCTCCACCCGCCGACAGCAGGCAGGGTGAGCACAGCCAGACCAGCGCGTGCTGCTCTGTCTGACGGAAACCAAGCCCACCTGCCACTTCTCCCGCCTTCAGATTTAGCCACAAACTAAGGCACATACCGGGACAGAGGGAGAGACTCCACATAAAAATGCTTTGCCTTAAACCCTGAGTGACTGTGAGGTGGCAGCTGGGAGGGCATCTGTCACGTCTGTGTGTTCTTCGCTGACCTCAGAACCCTGGGCCCTGTTGTGTTCGGGCGCCGCGGTGTCTGCCCTTGAGTGCATGCCCGGTCCGCGCTCAGCTCCAGCGATGGGACGCCGAGCTGTGTGAGGCAGAAAAGCCAAACAGGTCAGTTATGCAAATCTCCTAGTGCCACACTGAGTGTTCTGGACGCTGGGATGGATCTGCTGAGTACTTTGCTATACCTGCTTCTGATTATTAAAGCTGTCTCTCCAAAGACTCTTGTCAGTGTTGTGTGTGAACTTGTCCCAAAGCTGCTCAGCCTTTAACCTTATAGGCCCATCTTTTCTTATCTGTGGAATGAGTTTTCACGTCTACCATAAAAACCACCCAGTTGGCCGGGCGCTGTGGCTCACGCCTGTAATCCTAGCTCTTGGGAGGCCGAGGCGGGCGGATTGCTCAAGGTCAGGAGTTCAAAACCAGCCTGAGCAAGAGCGAGACCCCGTCTCTACTATAAATAGAAAGAAATTAATTGGCCAACTGATATATATATATATATATAATTAGCCGGGCATAGTGGTGCATGCCTGTAGTCCCAGCTACTCGGGAGGCTGAGGCAGAAGGATCACTCGAGCCCAGGAGTTTGAGGTTGCTGTGAGCTAGGCTGACGCCACGGCACTCACTCTAGCCTGGGCAGCAAAGCGAGACTCTGTCTCAAAAAAAAAAAAAAAAAAAAACCACCCAGTTAAAAATAAAGCTGCACTCCTCCGTGACCCCAGCAAGTAACGGACGTCTTCTCAGCAACGACCACAGCCTGGCCAGCCACTTCCCAGGTGCATGCTGGCCTGTCTGGCCAAGTGACACTACCCTGCCCAGAGAACCGTCACACACTCGCAATGTTTTTCTGTAAAATATCCATCAGCTCTCGCTGTGGTTCTGGCTTGGGGTGTGGCCACATCCGCTACAGACTGCTGAGTGCAACACCGTCAGCCCCAGGCTCATATCCTTGAAGCTGTTTTCTGTACTGTCCCCGGAAATATATATTTAGAGCACTTTCATGCCCAACAATTACACACTTGCAGTTTTTGTAGTATGGTATTCTGTTGGGAAATGTAATTATGAGGATGAAGTTTTGAGTCCTTGCACTGTTGGAAAAAATAAAAGTAAAGAGCTGTCCCTCTGTTCAGTGGAGCGACTGTCTGGCACGCAGCAGCAGGCCATGCCCTGTGCAGCACCATGGCCGCATCTGGGGTCTCCCTGAGCCCCTCCTGCCCCAGAAAGTGATGGCATAACCAGGCAGCTGCCCGTGAGAGCAGTCGGGTCTGAGGAGAAGGAAGCCTCCTGGAAGCTGAACGAGGTGTTAAAAACCCACCTACTCTCCGTGTAAGCTGCTTTTATCCCTAGATTAGCAAAACAAGTGTCAGGGACCTAGAGACCTGTAAGAAGAGGCTTTGATTTATCAAATTTTAAAATTATAGCCGCTGAGTGCAGCTGACAGGCTATTTTTTTCTCCACAAATTAATTTCAGAACTTTTGTTGTCAAATAATCTGTCATTTTCAAATTCATCACATTCGAAAAATTTACCACTACCTGCCGGTGGGGCCGGAGTGCAGGAAAGCTTCCCGCTCCCGCTGCCCTGGCGCGAGGACAGGCACGTGGGGCGGGCTCTGTGTTTGGAATGACGCCTGGCCCAGCCCACTGAAAAAGCTAGCATGGGTAAAGACCATCAGGGCTCGAGTCGGTCACGAGCTCTACAGATGACAGGGCAGATGGTAGTTCTGCTCCGTCAGTCCCAGCCCTGCCCACAGTATACCGCCATTCCAACTTTATTTGCTTGTCATAGGCCACTTCTCAGAGGTACAATATTTGGCATGATTGAACTCAATCAACCGTATTTTCAAAGCCGAAACAATACCCTGCTTGCTTGATGAGCAAAGAGCAGTGAAAACCCTTTCCTGCCACTGGCTCTGGTGCAACAAACACCAGTGCAGGTCGGACCAAGCCAGGACCTGTCAGTCTGCGCAAGGTCAGACCCTACGGCAGTCACTCCTTCCAGACCTAGGTGGGCTGGGCACAGCAGAAACCCTGCTCGGCCCCCTTCGCTTCAGGGCCAGTGTCCAAAAGGAACAGTCAAGTAAGACAGAGACCAGTGATGAGTGATGAGCCTAAGGTCACCAGAGTCTGAAACAAAATTAAATAATTACTCTTTATTCAAAATAAATAAGCCCTCTTACTTTCAAGGAAAATATGAAAGTCAACTCTGTCCTCCTGTCCTCTAAGACAGAAGCCACATTCAGAATATGTGCATTTAAAAAAGAAAAGATTTGTAGATTATTAAACTGAAATCTAGGAACTTCAATACACATTGTTTCTCTGAAAAATAAAGACTGAAAGGAATAGTGTCAAAAAGTCACAGGTTAGAAAACCAATTTTTCTGAGGCTCTTTTTAGTAAATCCTCCAAGTATTTCCAAATCTTGAAGCTGAAAAGCTATATCCCCTGAGAAAGGGCCTTCCCCCACAACCCTCCTGCTCTGACGCCAGCGTCCCTGCAGCCATCTGTGGGTGGCTTCCTGCAGGACCGTGCTCCTTCCCTGGGAGAAAATGGTGCCCTGTAGCCTGTCCCCTGCTGGCAGGAGCATAGCCCCAGCTTTCTACAAACTCACTCACTTGGCTCAGCTATTCTGCAACGGAGAGGAAGTTTCCTTAGCAGTCCAAATACTCTAAGTACCATGTTTTCCAGTAATTTCCAGATCCACAGTGTGCTCGGAAAGCCAAAGCTGTATCACCAGGCTTTTATGAGAAGCTTTTCGCTGGCGTGTCTGAGTGACCACGTGGTAGGTACGAGTGGGCTCTGCAGTCTTGAAGGTCTGAGATGCTGCTTCAAGTACCCTTTCATGCAGGTTAATTTCCAAATTCAACAGTCATACAAAATACATTAGGTCAATGAAGAACTGAGAAGCAAAAGCCCCAAAGTCTTTTTCAAACCTCCCCCTCCTTACCCCAAAAACACAGACACACAGAAAAGAACTCTCTTCCTATAAATTCAAGTTCATCATCTGAGAGGTAGAAGCCTCCAAGGAGTCATCTAGCTCCAGGGCACATCGACTGTACGCTTCCAGATGTTTTTTCCAGATTTCAACTAAAACAAGAAAACAGATCAACACGTTATCACTCCTCTCTCAGAAAAGCAGTGGTGCGAGTGAGCTTGCGGCCACCGCCCAGTGGCTCCCCGAGCACAGGAGTCCTGTGGGCTCCACCGCTGTCCCCAGCCTGCTGGGCCAGGCTGCCCCTTGTTGAGCTGCATCAGTTTACCCCCCCCAGATAGCACACAACCTTGAGAAACCCCACTTGGCCTTCCAAGCCTGTCTTGGGTACAGCTACCCTTAAGGCCACTCTGTTCGGATGACATGTGACTTGAATTGTAAGATAGTCCCTGACAAACCCTCACAACTTCCAAAGTCTGACAACGCCTCTTAGGCACTGGCCTGGGCTTACCAGGCCTGGTTACGGCCAGTCTGGCTGGACTCACTGGGCCCTGTTACAGCCAGTCTTCCAGTATCAATGGCCGAGCTGCTCTCCTGGGGACACTAGTTAGAGCTGCTAAAGAACTTAGAGGACGCTCAACCCAACACCAAACCCTCCATTGAGCACTCACTGTAGTGTGGCTCTTCTTTCTCAGTGGGGGCTGTGGGGCCGTCTTCCTCAGAGCAGCTGGGGCCCCGAGTGGCAGGGCTGGAAGGGGCCTGAGGCCCGGGCTCGCCCGCCAGCTCCCGCTGAACGTTCTCCAGCATGGTCTTGTACGCCTGCCGGGCCGCCATCGTCAGCTCGACCATCTTGTGGAACTGGTCCTTAGGCACAAGTAAGTAAGAGCACACAGACGATGTCCCCTGACTACTGAGAGGATGTGGGTCCCCTGCAAAGTTGACAGCAGTGCCCACCGCAGGGAAGCAGGGACAACTCAGGGCTGTGAAGGGGGGTGCCAGGGATGCTGCCCCAGAGGGAGAGTGGGCCGGGCTGACGTCTCAGGCCTGCCTGAGGTACCTCTATGTCAGCAGCACGCCCAGACCTAAATTCAAACCAGACACCTGTGCCATCAAGGAGACAAAGGCCACCATTTGATGAGAAGGTTCTGCCTCAATGGTAGCTTCTTCTCAACATCAGCCTGCCGGCGGGCTGGGGCTGCCCTGTGGGTGAGCACACAGACTGCCAGCCCACGTTCTCCCACAGGCAGGGACTGACGCCTGTGCTCTCATCTCACCTGGGCCCCGTCGTAGCTGAAGATCCCCACCACGCTGACAGGGACTGCTTTGTTCAAACTGCGCCCCAGAGCTTTGCGGTTGAGGGCAAACACCAAGGGGATGTTCTGCTCACAGGCGTGATCAATGATGGTGTGCAATGTGTCGTCCAGCCCACCTGGACAAAGATAGTGAAAACCGATAGGGAGGTGTGTCACATGGGGCATGGTGGTGATACTTGTTGCAAAGGGCTTTTTCTTCAGATAGCAACGTGCCTGCTTATGATTTCATACTCAAGTCAGCAGCTCCTGCCAAATTTCACCAAGATGGCAAGTCACAGCCACATGGAAGAATTAACTCTCCAAAAAGAGATACTTCCATAACATCGTAAAACACACAGCTGGCATTATGTTTATGGGAAACGTTAAGTATTAGCTAATATTGTTGAATACTTACCATGTGCCAGGCCACTGACCATTGCTTTACATATATTAGCTCCTATATCCTCCCCCAAATCCAAAAAGCAGACAGATGCTTGTGTCCCTGCTTACAGACGGAAAACCAGAGGCACAGACAGGTTAAGTTCCTTACCCCACATGGTACCTCTAGATGGGGCACAGGGGTTGGGCTCCCAAGGGCTGACCATGCTCTACATTTTGAGCCTGCTTCCACGCGAGGCGCCAGTGCGAGGAAGGAGGTGACAGGATCACCACATGCGGGCCTTTCCTGGCCACTCGGAAACAAATCGCACCTAAGGATGGCTCCTAACCGCGTGAGAAGTGCAGAAGGGGCCTGGCACGAGTCTGTATACACTCACACGGCGGCCGGTTCGCACTACAGTCGGAGAGATGACTCCACGTACAATAGCAACAGAAGATTACAGAAGGTGGGAATGAGTATATCATGAAAATTGTAAGATTTATAGAACATGCTATTAAAGAACATAATAGAAATGTGAACAAATGAAAAAGGCATCTATCTATGCTCTGGGACAGAATGATCCAAAATGATAAAGTGCCAACTCTATATTAACCTAAAACTTTAACATATCATAACTTACTACAGACAAGATTTATCTGAGAAAAAAATATAAAAAACAAGGGAAAATGTCAGGCTAGCACCTCCAGGTGTTAAAGCTTGCTGTAAAGCTTACAAAAGCACAAACAAGGTAACACAAAGTCCAGAAATAACCTGAATTTAATGGCAACTGAGCGTGTGCAGAACTGCATTCCAAGTCAGTGGGGCAGAAGATGCTGGATGACTGGGTAGACCTCTGGAAAGATCCAGCTGGACCAGCATCTATTCTGTCTGCCTAAACATACAGAAATGAAAACATAGAAGGACCAGGAAACAAACAGAAGTTTAAAAACAAATCTGCAACAACACTGTCATGGGAAGGCTGAGAAAGGACATAACACCTAGATGCAATAAAAAAAGATAAGAAATAAAAAATAATATACACAACACCTAAAATTTCTTTCTTTTCTTTTTTTTTTTTCCTTTCTATCTCCGAACACCTAAAATTTCTATACGGCCAAAAAAAGCCCCACAGCCCTTATTTCTCTGCCTACTCTCTGCCCCCGACCCATCTACCTGAAACACATGGAAAGTGATGAGGCGGCAACGTCTTGCGTATAAACTTTGAAGAAAAACAGCAATTATGGACAGGCTAGGAGAAGGGGGAGACAGGGCAGAGGTGGGGTGAGGCGAGTGTTCCTCAGATATAATTACAATGAGATATTTTCAACTTGTCAGGAGAGACTAAAGAAGCCCCCCAACACTGGATGTGCATCTCTCACTTGAGGGTCTCAGCCCAGCGTCCACTCAGCCTCTAGGAATGAATCACAAATGTTATCTAAACAGTGCACAGGCACAACCTAACACAGCAGGCCTGGCCACTGTCCTCTGAAGGCCCATGTGCCAGGCTGGCCCTTGGCTGAAGCTTGTGAATTTGGATTTCAGGAGGGTTCCCACCACCCTAACTGACAAGAGTAGCTCTGTGCCTCAACTGTGTGCAAACACTGTGAGTTAAGCTCAACACCTGCTTTCCTTCTGGAGCCTGAAACTTAGCTGTGTGCTAGGCAGAGGGTGCCTGTGTGCCTGCCCCTGGGCAGAGTCTCTAATGAGCACGCCTGGTAAAGAGTACTTTCCACAGGCTGTCACAGCTCACTGCTGGGGAATTAAGCACATCGCATGTGACTCCACTGGGAGAGATGTTTGGGAGCTTGTGCTTGGCTTCCTTCCCCAGACTCCAGCCCGTGTACCTTTCCTGTTGCTTGCTCTGCACCCTTTCACTATAATCAATCATAGCCACGAGTGCCACTATATGCTGAGTTGTGGCGTCCCCCTGGCATGTCACTGAACCTCGGTACCCCTCATACAAGCAATGCAAGTCTAGACTGTTTTGCTCGAATAACCTCCAACCCACTCTGTCATTAGCAAGAGATGAAAGCTGCACACTCTACAGCTGACTTTCTGAAGCGCCACAAGAGAGCTCAGGTCGAATAAGCAAGATGCTTGGCTCAGATAAGTACTTTTCCACTTAAAAGTTCAGAATTATGAGGTAAAATGCCATTCTGAGCAAGTATCATACTTTAACATAATTCAAGGCTATACTACTAATTTTCAATTTTAAATGAGAGCAAGCCATTGGCTGGCTATCTTACCCAAATGACAAAATATTTACAAGATAAATAATCAAGTTCCTTATGCCTCAAAGCAAAAAAAAAAAAAAAAAAACAATGAACCAACGATTAAACAAACACATTTATCGTGTATAACAAATGCTCACGATGCTGACAAGGACCCAGCCTCCTGCTCTGTCATCACAGAGAGGTGGAATAGTGGTTTCAAAGACATGAATCCACAGCAAAATGTAAGAGACAACAGCAAAGTTTTGAAAGCTGAAATGCAAATGGACAACTGAGCTAGGAAACCTAAGCCAACAGCAGAAAAAAGCCTGGAATAGCCAGACCTGGACCTCAGAATCCCACAAAGCACAATAACTGGCAGCATGAGGGCAAAGTGCAGGTCGGAGAGCCAGCTGGACGCTGGTGAACAGGTGACTCGGTGTCCACCCTGTTGGCCGTAGTACTCTGGGCACAAGTATGTGGGACACGGCGCACCACCTCTAATGGTGGCAAGAGGACAAGTTTGCAAGGTAAAGGCCGAGAGCCAGGCCTGTCCCTCCAAACAGGAGGTGCTATCTTCCCTGCAGATGTGACCAGCCCAAGGGGAGACAGAGATACCCATGGGGCACTTCTGACAGGACAACAGCCAGACAACAGCATCCTACAGCAGCATTTCCCAGAGTGCACTACTCAGAGCAGCAGCAACGCCCGGGAACCCACTGGAAGTGCAAACTCTTTGGGCCCAGTGGACCTACTCAAGCAGAAACTCTGGAATCTGTTTTTACCAGCCCTCTGGGTGATTCTGATGCAGGCTGCAGTTTGAGAACCACCACCCTACAATGCTGCTCACAGCCTTGAACACGAGCCATGCATACAGATTTCGAATTTGCCTCTTAGCAGCTCTTAAATAGGAGCAGACAACTAAGGGGCTACCAGACATGTGTGAAAAGCCTCCACCATGGAGAGACCAAAACAAACAGAGAAAACAACTTGGAGGAAACAGAGGCTATGCAGGGAGGGGAATTTGGCATCATTAAAATTCTCAGAGAGGTAATACATTCATGAGGCAACAGCAATATCATAAAAAAGGAATCTTTAGCAAACAAAAATAGCTTCCGGAAATTAAAAATGTAAGAAGCAAAAAATTCAATGAAAAAGTTTAGAAGATATAGTTGAGGTGTCCTAAAAGAAAATGGAACCAAAAGAAACAGAAGAAAAGCAAAGAACAACCAACAAATGGACAGAGGACACCAGTCCAGAAAGCCCAAACACTGCCATGGTTGCAGGAGGAGCTGGCAGGGGATGGAGGAGGGCATTCAAAGTAAAAATTTGACACCACATCCCAGAGCCAAGGGCATTGGATGCAAACTGCCTCACATCCTATAACCCCAGGAACAAGGAAGTTCCAAGAAACTCCCAGAAAGGAGGTAAAACGTTTTAAAAAATCACAAAGGACCAAGAATCAGAGACTCTGGATTTCAAACAAGACCTTCAAAATGTGCCTCCCATGTACCTTTTTATCATAAACCACTAGAGGATGTGCTCCAGCAAAACAAGGGGGTACTATAAGAAGAACATAAACAGTACACCTTGACAAGGGCAGGGTGAGAGCCAAGGGCATCCCCAGGGTACAGAGAGCCAGAAATCAGGGTTTCTTGAGCAAATGAAACTGCAGAATGCCTGATGTATCCAACTGTCCGAGGGGAGACTGAGGCAGCTGGCCGAGGGCATGGGGCTTGATTAGTGTTAAGTATATAGAAAATTAAGCACCACAAAACAAGAATGATAAGACAAACTATAGATTAGGATAAATAGAGTAAAGCCTGTTTCCTCTATCAGGAAGTTGCCAAATAAATACTTAAAATTGAAAACAACATTATAAGCAGTAGCGCACATGCCTCTTATTTGGAGATGCAGAGAAAAGTATCTCCAAATTTGGCTAGGAGCTGATCAGAAACATCTCTAGGGAAGGTAGAGAGCCCAGGCCTGGCTTTTTCCCTTAATAAACCCCATAGGCCTCCCTGACCCTGTTAGCTGTGTGCATGTACAATGCAGACAGAAACAGCCAGGGAAGCATGTGGCCTATTTTCTCCAGTGACCCAGAAAGGCCTCTGGGCACTCCCAGACATACCACCAGATGGGCAGGTCTCTGAGGTCTCCTCTGTCACATTCTGGTCAGCGCTGACACTGGACCTGCACAGAGCTAGGACAGAGACAAGCTGCCAGGTTGGGCATGAAGAGCCCCAGCTGGTGCTCCTGGGCTGGAAGGAGGGGGCTTCAGACCTGTCAGGAAACCGCCAGGCTGCAGATGTGAAATGGTAGCTGGAAAAGACTGTCTCTAAGGGTTCAGCCCCAGGGTCTGGACTCATAACTTCAAAGTGCAACCCTGGCCAAGTTGACTTTTACACTGAAGGAGGAATGGGGCCAGGGAAGGGCTTGTGAGTGATCCCAGCCCAGACGGACATGCAGGATGGGTGTCCGTGAGCAATGGCGTTCTGTTCCTCTCAGCTCTTCTGGTATTCAATCTGGGGAGGACACAGCATGGATAGGCAAGTTCTTTGGGAGCCAAGATGGCACAAGTGTGGGATAAACAAGATGTCACAGAGGAGAGTTCACTGTCATCTTACCTAGCACATCATATCTGACAAAACAAAGTATACCATCCAGCTGAAGTAATATGGCCAAGTACTCAGACAAACCCACTTCTGTACCAAGTGAACAGATGAGTTAACCACAGACAGAATGACTAAATGTGAAGTAGGCAAGTGTCCTAGGTAGGAATTGCTTGGCTGCCAGGCACAGCACTTCATGGTGTGTGACCAGTGACCATCCTCAGTTCCAGAGCACCCTGCACAATGGAAGGACACCATGCCCCGCTGTCAGAGGCCTGCATGGGTTGGCTGGAAACCTGTCGTCCAAGACCACATGACCCTCCTGTATTACAGAAAGTAAGGCACTCAGTAGTCAGTGCGCTTGAGAAACAATTACTCAATTAAAAAACAAAAACATAAAAGAAAATGAGGTGCCAAGGCCTGTGGCATAGTCTGCTCTAGTGTGTGGCTGACCACGAGGGCAGAGCACTAAGCACTAGTGCACGGGGCCCACATGTCACAGAGCCATTACCTTTCGACTGTATCTTCTCACAGTTGGGAGAAATGATGACACATTTCAACTTTTTGAGCTTCAGGTGTTTGAGAACTTCCCTCAGCCCCAACACAAGTCGGCGTTTGGTCTTGGCCTTGACTGGATCTTTCTGATACATACGGTCTTGGAAACGGACAAGTTCTTTGAGCAGGTCCGTAACACAAGCGTCCACTTCCTTACTAAGCATCTGGCTGCAGTAACTGAAAGAAATGTCATACATCAGGAACTCCGCCACTGGCTGCGACCCTGCGGCATTGCTCCCACCCAACCTCAGGAAGAAGGGATGTAGACAGTATCAGACGAGAAGTCACACTGTGACGAGTAACACCAATCACAACCGAATTCCTCACTAATTCCATTTTATGAAAGGAAAATATTGGGGCACCTTCCCCCACTCCAAACTGGAAGGGACAAAAATCTCTGGGCCCCACCCTCTGCCAGTTTGTCACAGGTCCCTATCTGGGCCACTTCCCCGTGCATCTCCCCATCATGAAAACAAACACCTGGAGAGAGTATCATGGAAGAAAAGTAGGAAGGAGAGAAGGCAGAACAAGCAAACAAGGTTAAAAGAATCCTGCCCTAAGAAATTACATAAAAATTAAACCACCAAGGGGGACCCAATGTCACATGCGATCACCTCCCCACTCATTTCCCAACCTCGAATCTGGACTAAAGGCTCTTCTTCCATAGTCATCAGGACAGAAACCTCAGTGGAAGCAGACTCAGATACAATGATTAGGCTCTCCCTGAACACATGTAGAACTAGGTGCTCGGCCACTTCCAACCATGAGGGTTAAAGTGCAGTGTGGCCCAACCACACGGGTTTATGGTACCCAGCACTGTAAGGGTGAGAAAAATCGAAAATAAGCGCGCCTGCCTTCCCACAGTCCCTGGCAGGCAGGGACTCACTTACTCCCTGAATCTGCGGCTGTGGATCTTGGGGAAGGCAGCTTGGTCGGAAGCAAGGTGGCTGGCCTCTGAGTCCCTCTGGAGCTCCGCGCCTGGTGGCTCTTCTGACTTGTCCTCAACCGCAGGAGTAGAGGAGACCAATTCATCTGTCTCCGCTGGACCTTCAGAGGAAAAAGTCATCCTATGACCTCTGCAGGGCCCCATGCACACTGGAGGGCTGGCCTAGAGCAGCTGCACCGATGCAACCAGAGCCTGCACAGACAACACTGAGAAGCTTACAGAGGACAACGAAAACAGATGGGGATGCCTGGCAAAGCGTGCAGACAGTCATGCCAACATTCTGATGGGCCTGGATGTGTGCCTCCCCTCCAATGTTTACTTGCTAATAATTTTTACTGTGGTAAAATACACATAACATTTACCATTTTACCATTTTTAGGTATGCAATTCAGTGACCAAATTTATTTTTTAGTTTCCTCACCTGGTTTCCTCTACAGGCCACCAAAATGCAAGCCAAGTATCAGATTGCCAAGTGAAGGAATTAAAAACATACACCACACCCACTGTGATGGCAAACATGAAAGACAGTGCCTATGGGCCGGCGGGGATGGGGAGCACCTACAACACCCCCAGGGGTGTAACCAGTAGAACGCTAGGCAACCCACTGGGCAGGAGCTACCAAAGAAACGCACCCCCCAGCAATGGCCAACAGGAGCAAGTGCTTGTGCCAAGACACACACACACTGTCCACAGCGCCTGACTGCTAACAGCTGGCCGCCTTTCACCATATAAAGGTGCAAGGACTGTCCCGGACAGGCTGCTTAGCACAGCTTATCCTTTTCATAGCTGCCCCAGTCAGAAGTACTCTTTCAGGTACAAACAGGAGTCAGTACCTGAGGGGTCCACCTGCTCAGGGGCCTGGTCATCACCACCGCTTTCTCCATCTTGCCCTTTGTCACTGGTGAGAACTGGGCTCATGGCATTATCCTGGAAACGCTGCTGCTTTCTCTCTTGCCGTTCTTTCAAAATAATCTTCAAAATTAAAGCAATGATTAAAACATCTAAATATTTGTACTTACCAGACAATAAGCTCTTCTGCAAAACTAACTGCCCAAGTTCAACATGTTAGCAACTCGCCTGTGTGCCCTGGGAGTGGCCACACGCTCGTCTCGGAAGCTGGCCCAACCCTCACCCAGCCTGGAGCGGCACATTCCTCCCAGTGTGCAGAGCAGACACATGGCAGAGACGTGGGCCTTGAAGCCAGTTCTGCCACTAAGCGGTCTCCCAAGCACGTACACCATGGGGCTGCTGTAAGAATAACCGGAGGCACATGTGCGCTGTCAACGGAAGTGTGCCCCGTTCACTGACTCTAATCAGCGAGGGTGGGATGGGGGTGGAATGTGTGAAGAAAGAAAATGCAACTCCTTCCATTTCTGGTTTTTGGTCTGTGTCACTGCAAAGTTAAACATAAAAAAAAAAAAGATTTTCCTCCTTTCTCAGGTAGACTGAAGCCTTCCCTGTTTCCCTGTGAATTGTTTCACATGCTCCATCACGTGAGGCACCGATGGTTTGAGAATCATTAACACATCTGGAGACAACATATTGGAGTAACATAAACCTTACAATCTAAAAAATCTAAGAGCTGGACAAAGTGCCTACAGATATGTGAAACTGCATGCGCACCTTCTTCAGTGAGGTTGGCTTCTTGGTCTTGGGGACCTCCCTCTGCTTTCCTTTCTTCACCAGCGGGGCACTGGAGTCCAAGGGGTTGTGCGGCGTCTTCAGCTGACTGAAGCGTCGGCCCCTCTCCCCAGACGAGACTTCTTTGGAAAGGACTGGCACTGCTCCAACTGAAACAGAGGGACAAATGCCTCGAGGTCACCTCCCAGTGGCCCTCCCCAGCTCTTGGGCCACAGCTCACCTGGGGCTGTCTCAGGGTATCTGAAGAAATCACCCATGACCCCCCTGGCCTGTCCCCACAACCCTTCTCATCTTCATCAAACAATCTCTTACACATTCTTTTCACTAGCAGTAATTCTCATGAAATTAAATATCTCTTGGAAGGAGTCCCAAAAGTATCAAAAACTTAGGAAGACCTACCTTCCTATCCACATAATCAAATCTCCTGTGTTTCTCAGCAAAGTTCATTCATTTTATGGATTTCATTTTTAACTAAGCATAGTTCTAAGGTGGTTGCTACTCCCTATCACAGCTGTGAACAAGTGCCTCTCCACCACCGTTTCAGTTGGCACTGCCTTTGCAGAAGCTGGCTCTTGGTTTCGGTACGTGTATCTTCTATCTATTAATACCTTACAAGGCCCTTATAAGATGCCCATAATATTTCCAGTTGAGTCTCTTGAGTTTCTAGACATAACATGTTTTCCCAAATCCCACCATGGGCAGCTGGGGGCAATCCCTCCACATACTCAATGAATTATTGTGATTACCACTGAATATTTCAATTTAATTCTCTTGTTCTGCTCAACTTCATACCTTAGTAACTGTTTAAAGGAAATAGTTAATTTTTGTATACTTTTTCCTCAGGAAAATTTCCAAACACATACCAAAGAGAGGAGAATGGTAAACAACAAACCCCCATGAGTCTCACTGTCCATCTTCAACAACCATCAATATTTTTCCAAATGTATTTTACCCAACCTCCTTTAATTGCAGAGTATGTTTTTAAATAATTGGTGTTTTGTCAACTAGATATGCCCATTAAATCTCACCTGTCCAATTCCCTGCTTCCATGCAGAACATTTAACTTGCACAAGTCACCCAAGATGACTCTGCCTGCCTCCTAGGCCACTTCTTGCCCTAGGGGCTTCTCTGCCAGAAGGGGCTTGCAGATTGAGTGTGGTCATTTAAAGTGGCAACTTCGGCAAACAAGGAGGGCGAGACAGCGAGGCCAGCCTAAGGTTGCTGTCTTATGTGGACAAGTAATGGACTGGCAGACCAGCAAGGACTGACAGGGAGGAATTCAGGGAATACTTGCTGTAAAGATGGGCTTTCCACACATCCTGGCTGGCGACAGGGTGCATGCACAGTGCCCTGCAAAAGCAATTCCCAGCCACCCATGCAAGCCAGCCAATGGTGGGGTCTACAAGCAGGCCCAAGGGAGACTGGGCATGAGGCAAACTTGAATTAGGCCTGAGGGCTGAATGCACCCCCAGCTCACACATAGCTATCAACAACAAGTGGGGGCTTGAGCATGGCCTCTTACCCATCTCTACTATGCAGACATAAGGTAATCCTGGAAAGGCAGGCAAAAAATAAGAACAAACAAAATACCCGAGCAGAGACATCAGCAGCTGCACACTGTGGAGAAGGCAGACTTCAGATTTATTAACAGATCACACAAGTTACTTAAAAAAAAAAAAATCACCATCACTCCTCTCCAGGGGAAGAAATCAGAATCCAGGGTTACTCCAAAATATTCAGTATTCAACACAAATTTGAGATATTAAAACAAACAAGAAAAGGTGAACCACACTCAAGAAAAAAGCAGTTAACAGAAACTATCTTTGAATGCCTCCAGATACGGGACTTAGCAGACCAATATGTCAAGGCAATTATCAGAAGAAAAATGAACACAGATTTCAATAAATAGAAATTATTAATATAAAGAAGAGGGGCTTAGCAGAGATGGTAGAAAAATAAGTGAACTTGAAGATAAATCAATAGAAATGATCTAACTTAAAGAAAAGATACAAAAAAATACTGAAAAAAATGGACAGAGCTGAGAAACCTGTAGGATAACATCAAGCATACAAATAAATATAATGGGAGTCCCAGAAGAAGAGAGAAAAAAGACAATAATTTTCAAAATAATGGCCCTAAACTTCCCAAATTTGATGAAACTTAATCTACAGAGCTAAACACAACTACCAAACCCAGGTAAGATAAACATAGACATCCATACCTATACACATCATAGTCATACTAATGAAGGTCAAAACAGAAAACACAGAGCACGGCCTGGGAAAAACAACTTATCACATGAAGCAGAAAGAACAACAGTGTCTGACTTCTCATCAGGAACAAGAGGCCAGGGGGCAGTAGAATAACATTCAAAAACCTGAAAAAAAGATAAACCGAGAATTCTATATCCTGCAAAACTATCCTTCAAAAAATGAATACAAAATAAAGACAGTCCCAGATAAAAACTGAGAAAATTTGTTGCTAGCAGAGCTTGTGTCAACAATACTAAAAGAAATATTTCAGAAGAAATACTAACAGAAGGGACACCAGATGGCAAGTGAATCCAGAGAAATAAAGAACAGCAAAAATCAGTCGGGCACGGTGGTTCACGCCTGTAACCCTAGCACCTCTGGGAGGCCAAGGCAGGAAGATCGCTTGAGCTCAGGAGTTCAGAGACCAGACCCCCATCTCTACTAAAAGCAGAAAAATTAGCTGGGCGTCATGGCGTGTGCCTGTAGCCCAGCTACTCAAGAGGCTAAGGCATGAGGATTGCTTGAGCCCAGGAGTTTGAGGTTGCTGTGAACCATGATGGTGTCACCGCACTCTACCCAGGGCAACAGAGCAAGATTCTGTCTCAAAAAAAAGCAAAAATCATAAATACAAAACTGGTAAATATAAACTTTTCCCTTCATTTCTTCTCTTAACTTCTTTAGAAGACAGGACTATGTAAAGTAATAATTACAACGCTGTATTATTTTTTAACACATTTAGATGTAATATATATTAACAATAGCACAAAGGGGAATTAAAAAATGGAGATATAGTAAAGTTTCTCCAATATATAAACTAAGATATATATTGTAATCCCTGGAGCAACCACTAAGAAAATAATTTTTCAAACTAAAGTAACAACAACAACAAAAAAAGCAACAACAAAGGAGTCAAAAGGGTAGGTAGTTCAAGAATATTTAACACAAAAGGCAGCAGAGGAGGAAGAAAGGAACAAATGACATGAGACAAATAAAAAATAGTGAAATGGCAGATATAATAAATCCAACCATAGGAACAATTATATTAAATACAAATGGATGAAATATCTCACTCAAAAGGCAGATTGTCAGACTGGATTAATAAAAAAGATAGGACCATCTGCTATCTACAAAAGATGCACCTTATAGACTGTTCCCTATGCTGCTGGTAAGCATGCCTCTCCTCCTCCTCCTCCTCATTAACTGACCAGTTGGGAAGACCTGAACTGGGCTCGGGAACAGACAAAAAACCCCTAGGAAGGCTCTGAGTTGGTTCTAGCTAGAAAGATATGTGGCACTGGATCAGCTAAAAATGAAAAACCCTGAATTCTATTTTGTTAATTTTTGCTTTTCCTTGTAAGGATGGTTCCATTAGTGAGTTCAGAAGGGAAGATGATGGGCACATCAGGATTTGGGCATTCCTGGAATCTCTGGCCAAAATCTCATCTCAATACCATCAAAATCCCAGTCTCGCCAACTACCTTGAACTATTCAAAAATCTGTTCTGATTGAGAACCCTCCATCTTGGCTAAACTGCTTATTTCATGTAGACTCCATCTAAAAGGTCTGCATAAAACATCTCAATGGTATAAAACCAGTCTCTGCTTTAGCTCCCTTTTCTTTTTTCTTTTTCTTTTTTTTTTATTTTGGCATATTATGGGGGTACAGATTTTAAGGTTTCAATAAATGCCCATTTCCCCCCCTCCTAGCTCCCTTTTCTATTCCAACACATACTAATGATAAAATCCTATCTCCAGAAGTGACCTAAACATTGTTGACTCTGCCCTTTAGTTATGACTTAACAGAACTGCCCTGCTAGTTACGATTTAATACTAATAGTGTGAGAGCTATTGTCACTGAGAGTGGCAGCCCCTCCTCAATTTTCAACTACTCAACACCAAATACATCTATGAAGTAAGGTGAGAACATCATGCAACTTTCCTACAGGCTCCTCAGGAAGCTATATTCTTCAAAATCTGATTTTGGCACAGTAGTTTCCAGACTTCTCCAAGAGTGATATAGGTTAGTCAAAACACCTGCTCTGAAGTGTCTAGAGCTGTGGATACTCTGCTGTGATCCACAGAGTGAAGCCCAAAGCTACCTGCTGAGGAAAGGCTGCTTTTGCCCACAGCTAACCCACAGATGATAGACTTTCACCAAAGCACCTAGAATGTTGAAAACATTAATACGCGATGACAGCACTCCAGGCCTTTACCAAGCAGAAGACGAGCTAAAAGAGGCAACCTTTAGGGAAGACTATATAAGGGGCAGTAGGCCTAAGCTTTGGTGTATGTAAGAATTACTGACATGTGATGTATGAAACCAGGAATCCTGATCTGAATAAAATTGCCAAAATCGATGAGATAATCAAGGAAATTTTGATACAGACTAGATACCAGATTATGACATAACAAGAAATATATACTTGGTCTCTGTCCCCATTTCCCAGCACAGAGCTCCTAAAACCCTTCACATCACCAAAGTGATGTCTTTTTGTATGTCAATGAGAAGGCTGGTGGCAGGGATAGCCTCAGGATTGGGTGCTGGTTGCCAGGGGAACCAACCAAGTGACAATGGGTTGGAACCTTCAGCCCACCTCTGAGGAAGGGAGAAGGGCTGGTGGTTGCACAATCATTAATGGCTAACAATTTAACCATGCCTACATAATAGATCCTCCATATAGAAAACTGTAACCGGGTTTGGAGAACTTGGGGCTGGGGGGACACGTGGAGATGTTCAGAGGGTGGTGAGCCTGAAGGGACAGGGAAGCTCCATACCCTTCCCATACCTGACCCCATGAGACTCCTCTTCCACCTGGTTGTTTCTGAGTCATATACTTTTATTAAAAAAAAACCCCAGTATTCTAATAAGTAAACTATTTTCCAAAAAGAATTCCATGAAACCATTCCAGCAAATTATCAAACCTAAAGAGAGGGTCCTGGGAACCCCCGATTTATAGCTGGTTGGTCAGAAGCATAGATGACGACCTGGATTTGAAACTGGCATCTGAAGTGGGGGGCAATTTAGTGGGACCAACCTCTTAACCTATGGAGTCTGCATTAACTCTGAACAGTCACTGGCAGACTGAGTTATACTGTAGGACACCCAGTGGATATCTGCCCAAGAACTGTTGTGGGAAAACCCACACAACTGGTGTTAAAAATAAAGTCTGTGAGTGTGTACAGAGAAAAACAAGTTTGTTTTTTCTTTAAAAAGAAATGATTGTTAATGCTGTTAGGATGATGGCAGGGTGAGTAAAAAAAATTCACTATCAGAGATAGAAACTAAGGTGTTTATAGGTGAAATGACATGATGCCTGTGAGTTGCTTTAAAATACTTTAAGGGAAAAAAAGTAGGATAACAGATCAAACAAGACTCAGAAAATGTTAATTGATGAATCTGGGCAATGGACACATAGCATTCTATTTTTTAGGTTTCGAATTTTCCATAATAAAAAGTAAAAAACAAAGACAAAACAAAACATCCTATGACGTGCTTATTAAACTCCTTGATTCCAACCCAAGCGGTTTTCACACAGTAATCCTAGGGTGTGCCTGGAACCTATACAGGAGTGCTCACTGTACACTTTATTTAGCTTTTCTGTATGTTTGAAAATTTTCAAGACCAAAAAAATTCCATCTCCCAAAGAGACAGAGTGAGTTCATCCTTTCTGGGATTAATACCATAAAACTTGGCATATTTCCCTTGTCACTAACTACCAGGAACCTCAAAGACAAAAGTCAAAATCCAATCAAATATAAATAAAAGCCTCTTTACCAATTTCCTTGGGTACCTTTTTTTTTTTTTTTTTTAATGTAGTGCTTTGAAAAAAACTGCTTCAAAAGGAAGAAACATCCTTCTCTAAGAGATGTGTCAGAGGAAAGAGACAGCAACACCAGTGCTGGCACGACAGTGCTCCCGGCGGTGCCCTGTGCACGGGCAGGTAAGTCCTGGCTGCGGACTGCAGCTTTCTAACCCGCAAAGTAGAGATCTTGGGGAACACAGGGCGCTCAGAAAGATAAGGAGATTTTTAGCTACACAATGTCATTACATCAAGTGGAAAACTCCTCATCTTTTATTAAGATCATCTACTTCTTAAAATCACATTTAAATAATTTAAAAAATTTTAAATTATGGTAAAATGCATGACATAAAATTTATCATTTTAACTGTTTTTAAGTGCACAATTCAGTGGCATAAATTACATTCACAATATTGCGTAACCATTACCACTATTTCCAAGGCTTTTTCATGTCCCAAATTGACACCATCCTCTCCATTAAGAATAACTCCCCATTCTTCTTCCCCTCAGTCCTCGGTAACGTCTAATCTGCTTTCTATTAATTTACTTACTCAAGATATTTCATTTATGTGGAATCATATAGTATTTGTGTTTCTGTGTTTGGCTTATTTCATGTAGCATAATGTTTTCAAGTTTCATTCATACTGTAGAATGTATCACAATTCATTCCCTTTTTAAGGCTGAATATTACACTGTACAGATATACCACGAATGTTTATCCATTTATATGTTGATGAGAACATCTGAGTTTCCACCTTTTGGTTATTGTGAATAATGCAATAAACCCTGGCGTACAAGTGTCAGAGTGTTTTTAATTTTGAGGAGTGCAATTGCTGGATCACGTGGTAACTCTGTATTTATCAGCATTTTTTTTTATTATTTCAAGAAAATATGAGAGTGTAAACATTTTCATTGCATTTTATATCTTTGCCTTTCCCTAGCAAGGGTTAGAGGTATGCCCTTCCCTCCACAATGTTCACCACATCCCTCAGATATGGGTCTACACCCCCCACCCCCCAAAGTACCATCATCATTCTTTACAGATCTAGAAAAAATAATTCTTCATTTTGTATGGAACCAGAAAAGACCTTGTATAGCTAAAGCAATCTTAAGTAAAAAGGAAAAACTGGGAGGCATCAGTCTTTGTGACTTCAAGCTGTACTATAAAGCAATAATTAAATCAGCTTGGTACTGGCATAAGAACAGAGGCATTGACCTTTGGAACAGGACTGAGATTCCAGAGGTGAAACCATCTGCATATGGTAACCTGATTTTTGATAAAGCAGACAAAAATATACATTGGGGAAAAGAATCTCTTTTCAATAAATGGTGCTGAGAAAACTGGATAGCTACATGCAGAAGAATGAATCTGGATTCCTACCTCTCACCTCTCACAAAAATCCACTCAAGATGGATAACAGACTTAAACCTAAGGCATGAACCATAAGAATACAAGAAGAAGATGTGGGGAAGACCCTTTCAGACATCAGCCTTGGCAAAGAATTCTTGAAGAAGACCCTGAGAGCAATCACCGCAGCAATAAAAATAAGCAAATGAAATCTGATAAAATTAAAAAGCTTCTGCACAGCCAAGGAAACTATCATTAGAGCAAATAGATAACTTACTGAATGGGAGAAAATATTGCTCTCTACACTTCTAATAAAGGTCTGATAACAAGCAGCTATCTAGAACTCAAAAGAATTAACAAGAAAAAATCAAACAACCCCATCAAGAAATGGGCAACGGAAATGAACAGAAACTTTTCCAAAGAAGACAGAATAATGGCAGCAAACATATAAAAAATGCTCTACATCTCTAATCATTAGAGAAACGCAAATCAAAACCACAATGAGATATTTATCAGCATTTTGAGGAACTATCCATCAAATTGTTTTCCAAAGGGGCTGCCAGTTTATGTTCCCACCAGCAGTGTACAAGGGTTCTTATTACTCCACCTTCCCATCAACACTTGTTACGTGTTTTTGATTATAGTCCATTTAGGTGGGAAGGGGTATGATTAGCATTTCCCTGATAACTGACAATGTTGAGTATTTTTCATGTGCAGATTGGGCATTTGTATGTCGTTTTTAGAGAATGTCTTTTCAACTCCTTTGCCCATTTTTTTAATTGGACTGTTTATCTTTGTTATTGAGTTGTAGGAGTTCTTACATATTTGGATATTAACCTTTGATCAGATATATGATTTGCCCATTCTGTAAGCTGTCTTGTCATTTTCTTGACAACATCAAAACGTACACAAAAGTTTTTAATTTTAATGAGGTCTAAGGTTTATTCATGTTTTTTTGTTGCCCATGCTTTTGGTGTCACATCTAAAAATCCACTGCCTAATCCAATGATGTCAGGAAGATTTGCCCATTTTTTTCCTAAGAGTTTTATCTCTTGTATTTAGCTCATTGATCCATTTTGAGTTCAATTATTTTCTGCGAGGAATAGTTCTGTGGCCTGGGCTAGAGCGCAGTGGCACAATCATAGCTCACTGCAACCTACAACTTCTGGGCTCAAGCGATCCTGCTGGCTCAGCCTCTCAAGCAGCTAGGACTACAGGCGCATGCTGCCATGCCTGGTTAATTTTTCTTTTTTCCTCATTTTTTGTAGAGATAGGATCTCCATATGTTACCCAAGCTGGTCTTGAATTCCCAGTCTCAAACAATTCTCCTGCCTCAGCCCCTCAAAGTGCTAGGATTACAGGCCTGAGCCCCCATGCCTAGCCTTCAGTTCACTTTTATCTATGGTGTGAAGTAGGGGGTATGACTTTATTTTTTTGCATATGGAAATTTCTTTTAATGGACTTTGCACCTTTGTCAAAAATCAGGTGGCCATAGATATATGGGTTTATTTCTGGACTCTCAGTTCTTCTTGATACGTCTATGCCTATGCTTACTTCAGAACCACTCTGGTTTGATTATATATAAATAACTTTCGATTACAAGAGAAAATATTAACAAAATAATCTATCTGAAAAAGACTTTAAACCACTTGCCTGAGATGAAAAGACTCTTTACCTGAGAACACCACTGGTTTGGAGGACTGTTTTGCATGCTGGGAGTGCTGCTGCTTCTCCAGTGCTGTCAGCATTCCCCCCAAATCCAACTGTACTGGAAGCTGGCTCTTCTTTACACTACTTTTAAAATTATCCTAAAAAGTTCAAAAATCATAAGTTTATTAAAGTACTATACAAAATGTGCTTTTCATTTTACAAAAAATTCATATAATTAAAGATAAAACAAAACAGATTTAGAGACTATAAAAATCTTATAATTAAAAAAACTCAAGAAAAAAAGGTCAATCCCACATTATCTGCCAATATTACCATGGTTGTTTATTTCCTTCTTCAGAACACTGGGTTTATATTAAGTCGCCTACATTTCTGTCTACATCTCCATTACAAGTTAACAGTGTACGTCTCTAGACAAGACACCAGGGCTCGTAGTCTTTGACTACAAAAGTCTGTGTGTGAGGCTACTTGGTTAGTGCCATTACTTCATTAGCACCATTCTCTTTTCAACTGCCTCCACGAAGCAACAAACAGCCATGAAATCATAGCAATATGGCCAGAAGTCTACACAAGCCCAGATCATACCCAGCAGATAATACTAACGTAGGCACAAAATTTGAGATACTTGAAACAAGTTATTTTTGAAATAGTTGTGATTTGGGTTTTGAGGCCGTATAAAAAGTTGTACAAGGAGTGGCACACGCCTGGAGTCTCAGCTACTCAGTAGGCTGAGGCAGGAGTATGGTTTGAGTCCAAGAGTTTGAAGTTACAGTAAGCTAAAATCAGCCCACTGCACTCCAGCCTGGGAGGCAGACTGAGACCCCATCTCTTAAAAACAAGTGTACACGGAAGCCTGTGGTACACCCTAAGGCATGGTGTCCCGTTTGCTTCAGCACCTCCATTCCACTCTTCTGTCGAGTGCTCTCTTCCCTGACACCAAAAACCCTACAGGCTGAGGGCTCACGTCAGGGCAGGGCACCTAGTACAACAAAGGCAGGCAAGGAGACCTGCTGCAGGCGCGGAAGGTAAGTACATCATTACAGGTGAGTTGAAAGTTAATTCACACAAAGATTTAGAATTTTATTTTTCATAAATGTGAAAATAATCTCGCTCCTTTAAAAGGCAAGATGACGATGAAGACGTTAAAAGAATACATGGTTAAAAGTATGGAAATTCACCAACTAAATTATGAATCACAAGCTCCCTCCTGAATCTCCAGGGAGGGGAGAGGGTGCAAGGAGAAATCCCCTCCCCTTTGGCTTCTGTTTTGATTGCACAGAATAAAATTCTGGTGCTTGTCTTATTTTTCTTCTGTCAGACATTACTGCCTTGCAAAGAAATTCTGTTCCCTAAATAAACTAACTCAACTTTTTTTCCCTTTCAGTTAGTTTCATAAGGCAATCTGTCCCCTTTCTTTCTGGCTTACCAACTGCAGTTACCAGTAGTTTTATTACCAAAGTGACAACACTTTATAGCATAAGAGCAATTGTATTTCAACACAATGGATGAAGTTCTCCCATGAAGGAATGAATCAAAACAAAACCACCTGTCTCGGTACATAAAGAAGTCTGGAAAGGAGGTTTTTTTTTTTTCCCAAGAGTTTAGTTAAGCAAGAAAAGTTAAGCCTAAAGCAATTGTGGTTTCAATCTAAAAATTACCTGTGGCTGCTGTTTAGATTGAAATTTCGGTGACTCTACTCTGTCTCTTCTTTCAGATGCAACTGCCAGGTTGGGAAACTCCTCGGCATCCTAAGTAAACCACATACCCCTTTAGCTCTTTATTAATCATGAGAATGCAAACATGCCAAGTGCAACCTTTCTCTTGGTTATATTTCCTGTCTTTAATAAGATCCCACAAAGGTTCTCAAAGGTGATACGAAATAGCTGTGAAGCTCTCACATAAGAGCTTCTGCTTTGTTTAACTTTAAACACCAATGTTCTAATACAGCCACACCTAAAAGAGAGATGGCACCACCAAGGATCTTGGTACATTTGAAGGGTCTACAGAACTGACCTAGGACCACCTTGGCATGAGAGTATTCAAGTACCTGTTCTTCAAAACACTCTGTTTTTCACTAGAGAAACCATCAGATCTGGATGCAGCAGATTCATATGTTATGTAATTTGTGCTGAACCCATGCTAGTAAACAGAGACAAAGGCAAGAGGCCTGCTAAAAACAATTTTAAATCATTTTAAAACATTGAGGCAAATTTGTCAGTATTTTAGGTGCTCTGGAAAAAAGAATTATGTGGGAAACATGAAGTAGAAATATGAATTATTCATTGGCCCAAACCATAATGCTCTGCCATGGTAGTAGGTCTTCAACATGTAACCCAGCTGCTCTGAAATGGATGTTCCAAGAGCCCTGGGAACTGTACTCTTCACCCCAAGTTTGCGGGAATGCCCTGGGCTTGACCCCAAGCTGGGCACCTGGGCAGCACCTCTGAAAACCTTCTGCCTGTACAGTGGCCTGGACAGGCCACTGGGGCTGGTTTAGAACATGAAGAAAACAAGCAGGCCCATGAGAAACAGTCAGAAGCCAGGCTGGCTGCTCAGAGGACACAACACTCTTGGAGTATCATGAGACAGCAATTAAAGGGCACTTTTACAAGTTCATGAAATTCTCCTGAATAGGGCCCACAATGGATCTATGGTATTCTATGTTTTTCTCTATAGTAAAGCACTTTATAAGATTTCTGGATAGAATAGGAGGCCCTGCAAAAGGCAACATTTTAAAGCAAGGAAAAAAACAGGTACCAAGGGGAAATATTAGTAATATGGCACACAAAGTATTAGATTCCGATACAAGTAGTTTTGTCCCCAGATCATTCATTCATTCAAACGTTTACTGAATGCCTGCTCTGGGACAGCTGGGAAGCTAAATGAGAGGTGAGGAGAGTGGGTGGCTACTGTTTTCTCTAGCACTAAGAAAATGATGACTAAAAATAAATGTTAGAGATATTCACTTAGGAAACCAGTATGAACCCATGTTTCTATTAAGAAAGACCCATTTATTATATCACACAACATGAGTAATAAATATAAATGTACTTCAATCCTTGGTGGCTCTTGAACTGTCAGGATTTCATATTTTGATTTAGACTTTTCTTTCTTTTTCTTATTCTTCCTTGAGGCTTCATTTTGTTCAAGGTTGCCACCTTGTGATGCTTTGGACTAGAACAAAAAACAGCAAAAATCAGCAGTTTTTAGGGCATTCAATAGACTATTTAAAACCATGTGCCAGCAAAATTAAAATAAAAAACTGTTTAATCACATGGCAATTTTATTCAGAGTTAGGCTCCTCATTCCCCATTTTCTAAAGAGCCAGCACTCAGTAGCATAATTCTGAAGGGAAAAAAAAATATCTGTTAAAATAACAGTAACAAGCCTAATTCCTTTTGAAAACTAGTGGGTTTGGACAGAACCTAGTTTTCAGCTTGAGAAGGTCATGTTAACAATCCTGCTGACACCAACCTGATGTCCCCTCGCAAGTCCTGGTGGCCATCTCTGTCAGCATAGCCCAGCAGTTCCTACTCTGCACATCACCTCTGTCTGCAGAGCAGATCACCTATGGAGCCTTCCAATCATATGTCTGAGCCCATCCCAGACCTGCTGAACGTGACCTCATCACTCCTACAGGCCCTTCAGCCCAAATGTGCTTTGGCTCCCGGACCTTTGCACCCAACACTCACACCTGAATTTGGGTAAGCTCAGACTGCTCCTTCATGTCTATCTAGCCCTCACTCTCTAGCCTCTGGCTTTGCTTGGTTTTCTCATTATAGCACTCATCACTATCTAATATATTCTGGACCTGTCTGCGTAGCTAGTCTCTCCCTACTAGAACGTAGGCTCTTAAAGGGCAAGGAACTTTGTATGTTCTGGGCCCTGCTTTATCCTGAGAGGGATGTTACCATTCAGAAGTAAAAGCCTCAGCTGCTGTTAAAAAGAATGTTTATCTACTGAGCTGGAGGGACTGTCCATATTTTGTTAAGTGAAAATGGCAAGCTTTAAGAGTAATGTGCATACAATACTTATATTTTGTTTTAAAAAAGCAACAGAAATCCCTCTCTACTTGTTTATATTTTCATGAGCCTAAAGCAGGACATATGAGAGATTGTTAGTGCAGGTTTCCCTGAGAGGTTGGACAGAGGACCTTTTCCATAACTAGATCTTTGTAATTTTATTATCTTTATTTTAGGATTTTTCTAAAATGAATTTTCATTACACCTATATTTAAGAAAATAACTTTTAAAAAGATTCTGGGAAAATAAAAATCTGTTAACTCTTAGAATGTTAAACTGGCTCAGTGAGTGACCTGGCAGCTAGACAGTGGACTGTTGTCCAGTCTGTCCCCAGCCACCTGGGAAGCCCTAGAGACAGGCAGGAAGACTCCAAAGAAAGCCAAGTTCAGTGTGTGTGCAAAAGGGAAGGTCTTTCACCTACATGTACTACTCTCTCTCAAATACGTGCCGTGAGGAATTAAGCACACGTCTGCCTTTGCTGTAATTGTCGCTAACAGATCATAAATGCATAGCTACCACTTACATGGAATGGGCTAATGACATTGTGGATATCAAAAAGTATCCTCGCACTCAAAATGATAGGAAACCATTGCACTAAACATGACCACATTTCAACCTAAAATAACCTATCCTTATGCAATGAAAAGCAAGGACAATAAACATACCAGTTTAAAAAAAAAGCTCCTAAAGAAATAGATCTAGGGAGTAATAAAAATGTAACTTAAAATTATTTAAGGGAAAAAATCTATTCTGAAATACTATCTTATAGTAAGTAAATAAATTGCAATTAACCAAAAATCATTAATGTACACCAGATAATCACAAATGTGGAATTCAACTGTAATAATTTGCTACCAGTACTCTAGTACTGGTAAAAGCCATTTAAATTCAACAAAAGACTAGGAGGAAAAGCAGCAGCAACTTTACACACCAGAATATAAACTGAAGCCAATACATCTTTAAAGAATTCAAAATGGTTCACAGATATTTTCAGACCATAGGTCTAAAATGTATATTCTTTCTCATATCTAAAAGCTATCACTTGCATTACTTGACCGACAATCTATTCCTTTTTCAAGATGCTAGTATAACAGACTCAAGACTAGTGACTACAGTAAAGAACCAAATGCTTTCACAGGTAGGATCTGGGGGCAAAAAGAGAACATCCAATGCACAGATCAATATAATCAAAATGTGATGCACACCTTCATTTTTCCAATCTATTTTTACTGTAGTATAATACATATAACATAAAACTTACCACCTTAACTATTTTTAAGCGTATAGTCCAGTGGCATTAAGCACACCCACATTGTGGAACCATCACTATCATCCATCTCTAGAACTCTTCCTTTTGTAAAAACTGAAACTCTCTCCCCATTAATAAATAACTTCTCATTTTCTGTTCCCCGAAGTCCCTGGCAGCCACCATCTTACTATCTGTAGTGATACATACCTTTTTGGTAGGATGAACAATGTGTTTCTCTTTGTTGCAGGAAGGATCCGAAGATAAAACTTCAGAGGACGACATACTAACATTTTTAGGATCTGCTGATGAAGCAATGGTCTTTAAGTTTATCATAGAAGTAACATTTTTAGGGGCTGGTGACAGTTCTGTAGATAATGTCTGCCGAACAACATAACCCATTGGTGTCCAAGATAACTCTGCTCAAAGATAACCAAAATCGTTGAACAATCTCAACAGTAAAATAGAATTTCCTTAGCTACTCAGATATGCATTACATGAGGTAACTGTTCAGAGCATTACTAAATTTAGGCTATCATTCAAAATATCCTCTTGGAAACCACAGTAGTCATTAAACTTGTTTTTCTTCTTGGAGCATGCATGCTGAATTTTTTTTCCTTTTAACTTGTAAGGTTTATTTTCCTAGAAACTGTTTTTTTAACTAGGGGAAATGAGTGGGTAGACAAATAATAATTTTGGTTAAAAAACAATCCACGATAACATCCACGTGGCAAACATACGGAATTAATGAGCTAAAGATCAAATTTGGGCCCTACTAACCTTGATGTGTACCTTTAACATCAGAAGTCAAAGATCACTAGACTGCAGCTATCACAATAACTGGTAATTTATTTCTTTTAGAACACAGGCATAAGAACAGCAACACTACTCCTTAGGTGCCCATGAAACTCTATATGCGGACAAAACAAAAGGACATCCATCAGGACATGGCAGGTGAACACCTGTCAGCTGTCAATGACTACCCCCAAGGGTAAGACAGACTTTTCTCATCACTGCACAGCTACATGTCCTCAAGGCAGCCTCTGAAGTACAGATCTGTACTAAACCACATATATATCACTCATGAGAATGCAAAAGAAAACACCTTATGCATAAATGTGGAATAGTTTTGTAAAAATTTCTTCTGTTAGGACAAGCTACTATAAAAATTTCAAAAGCAGAATCTGCTGAACTCTCCCTGAATATATTACTTCCTGGCCAATCCAGAACAGATCAAAGCCCTCAAAGTGTGGCCTGAGGCTCCCAGGACCCTTTCAGGAGTCTATGAAGTCGAATCTGTTTTCCCAAGAGTACATATGCCATTAGCTGCCTTCCCTACTCTCTCCCTTTCTTGCCAGAGTACTGGGAAGTTCTCCGAAGGCCGCATGACGAGGACAGTAAAGCAGCTAAATACCACAGTAGATCTACAGAGCCACATGTTAAAGAGCTGCATGACTGCAAATCAAGAGTGCTGTCTACTGTAGCTTTTTAATTTTGAAAAATGGTTTTTATAAAAATATGCTATGTTAAAATATAATACATTTGTTATTGTTATTTTTAAGCAAATTAATGCCTTTAAAATTTGTTTTAACTTTGAATAGGGCAAACATTGATAGATTTCGCCCAAATAACAGAAGCTTTTTAAGGCTCTCAATTCTTAATGGTATTAAGGGGTCCTAAGACCAAAAACTATTGAGAATAGGTAATACTGAAGGAAGGAGCCATTTCTGAGTTCGTAAAATTTCTCTCTTAACTGGATATATATTTCATTTAGCATTCTTGTCTCTTATTTTACATTCCTTGTGCGTGGATGGGAGATCTCGTTTAATTACTTTAATTTTCTAAATTAACATTAATGTTAAGCTACTAATAATTCATTTAGCTGTCTTCAAGAAGGCTTTCAAACAAAAACCATTTTGATTGCACTGGAGTTAAAAATGTTCATTTTTAACTCCAGAGGCTGGTCCAAAGGCAGTGAGTAATCTCAATTGTTCACAGTGAGTTACAGATCAAACTCCTTGTTCTACTCTTTCCCCTCTTCTCACTATGGCACTTGACTAGTCTTTAAAAAAATGAACTTAGAAAATATAAAACTCATTTTTAAAAATTATGTTTTGTAGCTACTCTTACCTCTTGTACAAGGGGAATTGGAGGCAGCATTAGTAGTCATACATCCATCTGGATTATTTTTCACCACCATTTCACCCTAAAAAGCAAATACATTAGATGTCATCAGGGAAGTACAAATTAAAGCAAGATACTAGTACACACCTATTAGAATGGCCAAAATCCAGAACACTCACAACAGGAACTCTCATTCACTGCAGGTAAGAATGAAAAATGGTATAGCCACTTAGGAAGATAGTTTAGCAATTTCTTACAAAACTAAACATACTCTTACTATATGGTCTAGTCATGGCACATCCTGGTAATTACCCAAAAGAGTTAAAAATTTATGTCCATACAAAAACCTGCACACTGATGTTTATTAGCAGCTTTATCCATTACTACCACAACTTGGAAGAATCCAAGATGACCTTCAGTAGATGAATGGATAAACACATGGTACAGCCATACAATGGAATACTATTGAGCACTATAAAGAAACGAGCTATCAAGCATGACAAAACATAGATGAAACTTAAATGCACATTACTAAGTGAAAGAAACCAATCTGAAAAGGCTATATACTGTATGATTCCAACTATATGACATTCTAGAAAAGGCAAAACTGTGGAGACAATAGAAAGATCAGTAGTTGGCAGGGGATGTGGGGAAGGAAGGATAAACAGGCAGAGCACAGAGGATTTTTAGGGCAGTGAAACTATTTTGTAACCATACTATGATGGCAGACACATGTCATTATACATTTGTCCAAACCTATAGAAGATACAACACCAAGAGTGAACCCCAATGCCAACTATGGACTTAGGGTGATGATGATGTGTCAATGTAGGTTCATCATTTCTAACAAATGCACCACTCGGGTGCAGGATGTTGATAATGAGGGAGGCTGTTCATGTCAGGGGGGAGGGGATATATGGGAAATCTCTGTCCCTTCCTCTCAATTTTGCTGTGAACCTAAAATTGCTCTAAAAAATAAAGTCTATTTAACTAAAAAAAAGCCAAAGCAGTTATTTTCTTATTATTTCAAATTGAAAGTAACCATTTAATTTTAAAATATAGCTTCCCTTGCCATTCTTAAAATCTGCAAAATATATGCTAAAAATTCAAATATGTAAATATAGAATGTGAAAAGTTAAATTACTTCCTTCTACCAAATCTTAGTCCTTAGAGGAAAAAAATCATCCACTGTCCATAGTTTAGTATCCTTCTATTTCTTTGCCTACAATATAAACATTTGTGCATCCTTTTCATATGGCTTCCCAATAAAGGGATCATACCATATATAATATTGTACAACTTTTTTTAAAAACTTAATATGCCACTGACAACCTTCCATGCCAGTACAGTTGCACCACACAATTTTTAAAGCTGCAGTCTTCCTATATGAATCAGAAAGCCATCATTCACTAGGCCCACATACCAAAGTTCAAAACAGCCCATCAAAATGTCCACAAAGTAAACAAATGTAAGCCTGTAACGCATGCCCCCTTTTATAGACAGAAAGCTGTCTCATACATTGAACATAGGCATAAAATGTATGTATATGAAGAGGGAATGTGAGTATATCAAAAGATGACTCAGTGACCAATGCCAGTCAACTGATAAATTCAAATTTGAATCCATTAAGCACACAAAGGATTTAAAATAATTTTTAAAATTCATATGCTTCATATTTTCCCATTGCCATTTCATTACATCTGAGTCCACTAAAAAAAAAAAATATTAAAACATACCTTGTTCTTTTAGTAAATATAACTATTATGCTCACCAAGGCCAATAAAAAAATAGAAATGGCTTACCTGTTCAAGAATGGTTAAATAAAATATACATATCAATATGAGAGATCAAATACAACACAGGTGTTTTCAAAAAATATTCAATGACATGGGAAAAATGCCCAAAAAAAGTTCTTTCAAATTCAAATAAAGGGCTGTATATGCTTATAATCCCAAGTTGAGGAAAAACCTCTTCAATCCCACAACAGACCATCAAAAAAAAAAAAAAAAGATTAAGTGCTAAGCATGGTTTTCTCTTGATTGTGTAATTTTGGACAATTATATTTTCTTTTTTCCTTAATTTTCTGTCATTCATGGACACTGTTAATATCAGGAAAAAATTGTTGTTACAAGGGAAATTAAAACAAAAAGCAGACACATAATTCCAGTGTGTGAATGTATAATAGAATGTAACAGTAGACCTTGATATAAAGCATCAGCCATGCTCCCACACACGCCATGCGCCTACCCTGAGGCTCACACAGCACCCTGCACTATGTCTGTGCGGCGCTCACAAGGCTCTGCATGTGACGAAGATGGGGACCCCCATGACTATTCAGCCACTGCACACACCCACTCCGGGCCCAGGAGGCAGGCACACATCTGCCTGGTGCCACTGTGATTGTTAGCCAGCCATCGGTCTGGCTGACTTTTCACATCTCTTTAATGGGAAAGCACTGTGGTGAAAGTGTGTGGGTCCTGCAGGGGAAATGCCACCGATGGTGTATACCTGCACTACTACTGAGTCTTTCCAAGGCACCTAAAAGAAGTCCAAGGATAGGAAATAGAAGCCCTTTCTCAGTTCAAGATGTAAGCAAATTGGTGAGCTCAGTTTTGCTATCCTTCTTCTCCTTGCCTTCCTACCAGCATGTACCCCACCTCTCCCTTCAGTGGAAATTTGTCAGAAGCCATTTTAGGAATGATACTAATCCAGTGTCATTTTTTCCCAGAAGTCTCAAATCAACCCATTTGAGGAAAATGCCTCAATGTGGGGAACTAAAACTTTGAGACCAAATGCTGAATACAGTGTAACTTAAAATTATTAGACAAACTGAAAGCACCTACTGTAATAACTTTTGCTGAATTTGCTGTATCATTAGCAAGACAGGCATGTTGATAAAAAGCCTGGAAAAGTCGTAAGATACACTATGCAGTTTTAAATATTACTATTCCATTTTTCAAAAAGTCTTTCTCTGTATTGGAAAATGTGCTGTCAGAACGCAATGCCAAGGCCGGGCGCGGGGGCTCACGCCTGTAATCCTAGCTCTCTGGGAGGCCGAGGTGGGCGGATTGCTCAAGGTCAGGAGTTCAAAACCAGCCTGAGCAAGAGCGAGACCCCGTCTCTACTATAATACAAAGAATTAATTGGCCAACTGATAGGTATATAAAAAATTAGCCGGGCATGGTGGCGCATGCCTGTAGTCCCAGCTACTCGGGAGGCTGAGGCAGGAGGATAGCTGGAGCCCAGGAGTTTGAGGTTGCTGTGAGCTAGGCTGACGCCACGGCACTCACTCTAGCCTGGACAACAAAGCGAGACTCTGTCTCAAAAAAAAAAAAAAAAAAAGAATGCAATGCCAAGACTAACATGTTCAGAATGGGCTGTCAGACAAATCGACATTTGAGGAAAAAAAAAAAAAGGAAAAGAAATTAAGATTTTTTTAATGAAAATTAAAAAGAAAAGAAAAGACAAAAAAAAACCCAGAATGGGCTGTGAAAGCAGCTAGACTTTGCTAGAATCTTTTCCTTCTGAGGCACAATATCTTTTATAATTCCAAATGAAAAACAAGTTTACTAGATGACTCTTTAATTTTTAATTTTTATTTTTTTGAGATAGTCTTGCTCAGTCACCTGGGCTAGCGTGCTGTGGTGTCAGCCTAGTGCACTGCAACCTCAAACTCCTGGGCTCAAGTGATCCTCCTGCCTCAGCCTCCTGAGTAGCTGGGACTACAGGTGTGCACCATCATGCCCAGCTAATTTTTTCTATTTTTAGTAGAGATGGGGTCTTGCTCTTGCTCAGGCTGGTCTCTAAGTCCTGGCCTCAAGCAATCCTCCCATCTCAGCCTCCCAGAGTGCTAGGATTACAGGCGTGAGCCACCATGCCTGGCCTAGGTGATTCTTTTAAAGGAATAGCTATGCTAGGTGCGACAGCCTCACTGTAAACAGTTCAAACAGAGAAAGTGATCTACATGCATGATAAAAGGCAGCCCCCCAATACCTCCCCCCCAGCTCCATGAACTTCACAGCCCACATCAAGATTTAAAGTGTACTGTGTGAACTGATATAACTGAAAAGGTGTTTACTGACTAGAAACAGAGAGTGAAAGAAAACAATCTTCAACTCACCTCTGATAACACTGTAGCTGGTTTTACCACTTCTCTTAGAAGAGAAATGTCCCTCGAGGTAGAGCAGACAGGTCCCCACTTGGGTTGCTTTTGCACTGCTGACATATTATTGTTCTCTGGACCCTGCAGTTCAGGGAAATCCAACCTGGTAAATTCAAACTCAGGTTTGGAGGTAGATCCACCCTTTGCAATGATTCTGGATTTCCTGTCTGTTCGTTTATGATAACCATCTGTAATTACAGAATTAAAAGCAGGGGTAAAGCATAAATTACCAGAAGTATCAATCACTCTGGTTGGTTCATCATTGAGAGAAACCAAAATGCACTGCAAATTTTAGGAGTATGGTCATGAACCCCATCAACGACATTTCAGTCAATGATGGACTACACACACAATAGTGGTATAATGGAGCTAAAGAATTCCTATTACCTAGTGATGTCACAGCCTTTGTAACAATGCAATGCAACGAATGCATTACAGCATGTTTGTGGTCACCCTGTGTAAACAAACCTACTTCAGTGCCAGTCATATAAAACTATATCACATGCACATATATCTATGTACAGTATGTAATACCTGATAATGATAATAAACTACTATGTTACTGGTTTATTACATATCTATTACACTATACTTTTTTATCATTCTAGAGTGTACTCCTTCTAGTTATTAAAAAAAAAGTTAACTGTAAAACAGACTATTGCTCCTAGGCTACACACCTATTTAAGGACATGTTTTAAAGCTCGTGGTCAGCACCCACAGGCAGGTCCTTCAAGAGGGTATTCCAGAAAAAGGCACTATTACCATAGAAGATGACAACTCCATGAGTGTTACTGCCCCTGAAGACATTCCAGTGGGACAGGATGTGGAGGGGGAGAAGACAATAATACTGATAATCCTGACCCTGTGTAGACGCAGGCTAATGTGTATGTTTTTGTGTCTTAGTTTTGAACAAAAAGTTTAAAAAGTTAAAAAAATTAAGCTTTTTAAATAGAAAAAAGTTATAGAATAAGGATATAAAGAATTTTTTATATAGCTGTACATTCATATTTGTAAGAGTCAAAAATTTAAAAAATTCAAAAGTTTATAAAGTAAAAAGGTCACAGTAAACTAAGGTTAATTTACTATTGAAGAAAAAACTATTGAAGAAAAAAACTTTTTTTTTTTTTTGAGACAGAGTCTTGCTTTGTTGCCTAGGCTAGAGTGAGTGCCGTGGCGTCAGCCTAGCTCACAGCAACCTCAAACTCCTGGGCTCAAGCGATCCTTCTGTCTCAGCCTCCCAAGTAGCTGGGACTACAGGCATGAGCCACCATGCCCGGCTAATTTTTTCTATATATATTAGTTGGCCAATTAGTTTCTTTCTATTTATAGTAGAGACGGGGTCTCGCTCTTGCTCAGGCTGGTTTCAAACTCCCGACCTTGAGCGATCCGCCCTCCTCGGCCTCCCAGAGAGCTAGGATTACAGGCGTGAGCCACCGCGCCCGGCGAAAAAAACTTTTTAATAAATTTAGTGTAGCCTATGTATACAGTGTCGTTCAAGTCTACAGCAGTGTACAGTAATGTCCTAGGCCTTCACACCCATTCACCACCCTCGCGCCGAGAGTAACTTCCAAGCTCATGGTAAGTACCCCACACAGGTGTACCATTTTTTATCTTTTATACTGTATTCTTACTTACCTTTTCTATGCTGATACATTTAGATACATAAATACTTACCCCACTGTGTTATAAGTGCCTACGGCACAACTCAAAATGGTGTCCTCTAAGTAACCACAATGCCCAGGTTCAGTTATTATTTAGGATGGGACTGAACCTATAGTCAGATTCTCCCACCTATTAAAAGTCTTCCAACAGAACATCAGAGAAGCTACTTCAGGAATGAACATGGTCAAATAAAGTACAAAGGATGTGGCTGTAATGTGCTTTTATTTAAGGACACTTTTTGAGGCTTATGGTCATCACCTACTTACTATGTGATCTCAGACAAATTTTTTTGTCTGTAAAACAAAGTCATGACACCTTTAGAGCCCACAATGCAACAGGTACCACATTATAATCCCTTCCCTGGGTTGAAAGGCCTCCAGAATTTCAAGAATTTCTGATACCCTCAAGCTGTGTCAGGCTCCAGGTCTCACGTCAATGACAGTCACAGTGAACAACCCCACAGCAACAGCCACACAGAGAATAGCAGGATTTCTGGGGTAGGTGGGTAGGCTGGCATACTATAAAGATGGTGACTTTTACCTGATTTCAAACTATTCTCAGCATGAACAGACAAATGACGTGAATCTTTGGTTGATTTGCTCTCAGATGATAGAGTTCCATCTGCCCTTTTACCATCCAACTTTTGCTCATCATACGTTTTTTTCTCATCATAGGTTTTTTTCTGCAGGAAAGTTTAAAAATCAACGTGAAATAAGAAAACCACCACTACAAAAAATGGTTTAAAGTAGCAAATTATTAAGTATTCACAATTCAGTCATTTTTAAAAAGATCAGACCAAATCATTCTTTTTTTAAATTTTTAATCAATTAATTAATTAATTTTGAGAGAGAGTCTCACTCTGTTGCCCTAGCTAGAGTGCTGTGGCGTCAGCCTAGCTCACAGCAACCTCAATCTCATGCGCTCAAGCGATCCTTCTGCCTCAGCCTCTCGAGTAGCTGGGACTACAGGCATGTGCCACCATGCCCGGCTAATTTTTCTATATATTTTTAGTTAGCTAATTAATTTCTTTCTATTTTTAGGGGAGACAAGGTCTTGTCCTTGCTCAGGCTGGTTTCAAACTCCTGACCTTGAGTGATCTGCCTGCCTTGGCCCCCCAGAGTGCTAGGATTACAGGCGTGAGCCACTGCACCAGTTCTTAAAAAGGTTAAATACCACAAAAAGATATACAATGCTTAAATATGCAAAAATTTACCAAAATTCTTTACATTTTAAACGCTAAACTCAAGAACACAGTGAAAGCATAGCATTTACTCACCTTAAACAGAGCTTTCGTTTCTTGTGGGAGAGGGCACATGTGCTCATTTCGGGGTTTTACCGTCTGAAAACCTCGGTAACAACTGGGTTGGTTATAGTCATATTGGGAGCCGGGCACCGAGCAGACACTTCGCGTAGAGTCAAGGGTGTAAGGAGAGCAAGCATACGGATGAAGAGCTATCTCATTAGAGAAATACTGAGGTGGAAGAGTTGAAGCTCCAAAGGCCATATCTTCAGTATATATTTTCTGTCTAAACAAAAGTGTAAATTTTAGTTGCAAATTTCATACTATAAACCAAAAGGTTTAATATTTTATAATAAACAAATTCTAACTTTTTAATATTTAATATTTTTGAGATCATTCACTTTATCATTGAAATGTCCCTATTAAAAGCCAAATAAAACCTCTGAGCATTTCTTTTCTCACCTTGCAAAGAAAGATGCTGACCAGTTTCTATCTTTTCACTACCGAGCCGCAAGCCGGTAAGAAACATCAGCAGAGCCAGAGGATGTTCCAGCAGCTTTCACACTCCTGCTTGTCAAGTATTGGGAAGGCCTCTCTCAGCAACCTGGCCAAAATGGCCCACAAGACCATCCTCTCTGCGGAGAGAGTGCCCAACAGCCCCGAGCCTTCCTTCAGGGCCTTTGGGGCCTACAGACAGTCTTCTCCAGCTCTTCCCTGCTCCAAGTCCAAGACAACATCCTAGTGCCACCATCTCTACCTATAACACGCTAATGAGAATGTTTACTGCTTTCACTTCTATCCAGTACTTAATTATCCATTGCCTTGTATCACTGTGTGCTAGTTCATATTTCGTAATAAATTTAGATCTTGTAAGATCTTTTACTTACGGGCAATTCTTTCAAACAATGAAATATTCCTAATCAAAAACCAAACCTTTTCCAATGACATTTTTCCAGCCTCCAGAACACCTGGCCTAGTGCTGCCCCAAACAGAGCACTGAGCACTAGTTCTTCATAGAGAAAGGGAGATTCAAAGCTTCACCTACTGCCTACATATTCCTGTAAATTCTGTGCCTTACTTTGCTTGTGGCTCAGAAAATCTACTGGAGGGCAGGTTTCAGGTGAAAGTGAACAACCTGTTCTTCATAACAGAAGATGGGTAAAGAAGATGGGTTGATAGCAGGAGAAAAAAAAAGGCAGGGTCCAGTGGTGGTTCTGAAGGCTGTTGTCATCCAGAAAATTTTCATCCATGCGTCAGAAGATGTTGGTTGGGGTTCTGACTCTATCACCATCTAGCTTTCCACTCTTCACAAGTTATTTGGGTTTCCGTCCCCTCACTGGTCCTTCTTTCTCTGGAAAGTTGGTATTTTTCATTTCCATCCAATGCAAACACAACAACATGCAGAGAACACACAATACAAAATATCAAAGAGACAACTCACAGCATCTGGTGAGGCTTCAAATGGCTTGTCTGGAAAATTCCAGATGTCACGAGCTGTTCAGATGACCCTGAACAACACACCTGTTTTACAAGCACTGTAAAAGCTAACCTAACTACTATCTGTGCAATACATGCCTCCAACAGTCTTCAAGTCTCTCAGGACCTGCTTCTCAACTCTTCCTCCCGCCAGCAGTTGGGGCTGGCCTTTCTATCATGTGACTTGGAAAGCTCCCCTGGCCTGGACTGTGAACTCTACCCTCTCCTGGTTCTCACCCACCCTCCAAGGCCCCTCCTCTGTCTCCTTCCCTAGTGCAGTCTCCTCTGCACACCTCCATCTCACCCTTCAGACTCATTCTGAGTTGGAATCTCTCATCATTCTGTTCAGGACTTCACATAAATACAAACTATCCAGAACCTTCACCATCTTTTGGCCTCCACCTCCAACTAACAGGTCATTTCCACTTTTTTATTTCACTTTTTTCCCAATTTAGCACATATAAATCCCAAACCTACTCTCTAGTCCCCTAACCGGCACTATTTCCAACTTCTGTGCTCATGAATGATCCCACAATTCTTTGAATGTATTCAACTGGAGACCTTTATAATATCTTTCCCAACAAAACCTGTATGGACCATCGTGGAGCCTTTTTTCCTTGTAGCAGGTCTCTCGTGTATTTTCTTTGCTATTTCTAGTGCCTGGAACCTGGTCAAAACCTACAAGCCCCACTTCCTTAACAGAACCAGAATTCAGGAGTGATTATCATGACTCCATTCAAAATACCACCAAAAGGTCCCCATTTCCTACCCAGTAGACTGACCTAAATTTTTCAGCTGTACTATGTAGGCTTCCAATCTACTGACAGCTTCCCCTACCAATTTCCCCTCCTCCCTCTACTGTCTTCCAAACACACTGTGCACATGGTCCCTTCAGTCAAGCCAGGACCCCAGGGGATCTAGAATCTCCTCCACCCACCAAATTGACTGGAGCCATGTACTCAGCCTTGCAATGTTGTACACTGCTAGGCTATGTGCTAGCTCTTCTCACAGCTGATGTTTTAACGTAAAAGCATCAACTGCTGCTTTCTGAAATTTCCACAATATATTGCAAGATACTAATACTCAACTACCTCTTGTCAAAAGCAGCAGTTTTGGAGAACACTACAATTAAACTCAGGGCAAAAGAACTAAATGCTAATTCTGGTTCTGACACTACCTATTTGAATTAGTATGGACAAACTTTTCTAGCCTCAGTTTCTCAAAGTAAATAACATTATTCTCTCTGCCAACCTCACTGATTGTAGCAAGCATGAAAGAAGTGAAAGTATACAATAATTCCCAAACAAAATGCACACATCCTCATGCACACGTTGCACAGGATTTGTCATAAAGGATATATTATATTATTAAGCATGAAATGTCCAACTTCTTTAAGTACTAAGTTTGACGGTTGATATCTCTGACATTTCACTTTGACACTTCTTGTTTTATCTTTATTGTGAAGGTATATCCTCAGTCTCTCAGACACACGTTGTGGCTTGTGATTATCTTTCACATTTCTTTTTACAGCAATTTTTGTGAAACCATGATTAAGTCAAAAATTCATGTTATTTTCAAATGTTCTATTGTGGAACCAATGCTGTGCAGACAGCTGGAAACCTCAACATTTTTCGGAAGGATGTGGCTAATCGACGCACAGTATGTGGATGGTTTGAGAAGTTCCATTCTGGTGATTTTAATCCTGAAAATAAGCCATGTGAGCGACCTGAGACCAAGGTAGATAATGATGAGTAGAATGCTGTAATGGAAGTGAATCCATCTCAACCTAAGTGTGAACTAGCAGCAAGGTCTGATATTACTATTCCAACAATATTGGACCACTTGAAACAAATCAGCAAGGTAAAAGAAGCTGGATAGATGGGTTCCATGTGAATTAAATGAATGTCAGAAGAGAAATCACCTTGGCTTGCCTTTCTGTGCTGTCATGACACAAAGGCAAACCAGTTCTACACCATATTGTTACGTGCGATAAAAAATGGATTCTTTTTGACAATTGCAAGCATTTGGCACAATTGTTAGATAAAGATGAAGTACTGAAACACAATCCAAAACCAAATATTCATCAAAAAAAGCTAATGGTGTCTGTTTGGTCTAGTGCTGGTATTACCCACTACAGCTTCATGAAACCTGGTCCATCCATTACAGCAGATATCTACTGCAACCAATTGGATGAAATAATGAGGATGCTTGTAATGAAGCAGTCGAGACTGGTCAATAGAGACAGGCCAGTCCTCTTGTAAGACATACTTGACCATGTATCACACAAACAACGCTGCTCAAACTAGAGGAAATGGACATGGAAACTCTCTGACGTCCCCCGTATTCACCAGACCTTGCACCAACTACCTACCACTTCTTCCAGGCCACTTTCTTGCAAGGAAAAATGTCAAATTCTCAACAAGCTGTGGAAAACACCTTTCATGATTTCATTACCACTCGCTCTCCAGGCTCCTTCGCTGCTGGCATGAACAAGTGACAATTTAGGTGCATACTGTGATTAAGTGTACTGCTTCCTGTTTGAGATTCAATAAACTACACTTTTGATTTGAAATTAGACATTTCATATTCCATGACCTAATACTATGATAATCAATAAAGTCATCACCTCTGGACATCACTTGGAGCAGAGAACTTACTTTGCTTGCATAGGCTTTTATTTGTTCATTACATCAGTAAATAACCAGTATTTTCCAAGGCCAATGCTATATATCAGATGACTTCTATTGATATTTGTCTGTTCTATAAGATAAATGTGGAGGAGACTGGTATATTTGTTTTCATCTCCATCAGTTCAAGTCTATGTAAGACTGACAAAAAGAGGAGCACAGCCCATGAGGAGTCTTTTTCTCCTTTAGGACATAGTGCTTTCCATACAGTAGCCTTTCAATAATTAATTCCAAATGAATAAATGAAGTATCTTCCAGTGCAGTTAAAGGTACTGGAGGAGGACAGATTCTGTGAAAGGTTACTACACCTCCTTTAAGGAAAGATGAAAGAAGGTGATATATAAAGATGATTTAGGTTGCTATGTGACAGAACAAGTAAGAAAGAGGACATAGTTTTGGTTCAGAAAATTCTAGTCCTCTTTCACAGAGGGAAAAGACATAATACATAATCTGACTATAGCAATGTAATTTTTAATCTATATTAGAACTCACTAGGTAATTGATTCTCAACTATGTGAACTCTAATCATTTCATTTCTACTTTAAAGGCTCTTTTCCTTTCTAACCCTTACCGTTTGGTTTAATACATCCTTTATCCTTAGTTGTTTTCTCGCCAGTAGTGAAAATTGTAAGCCTATCTTTTCCTTGGTGATAAACAAGTTTTAGAAAAGTCAAATCTAAAAAGGACAAGGGGTTAAGAAGCTTAATTTTGAAATTCTGCACTATATATCCTTGAGTCTTTGATTAGAGTCCACTCATGTTGCTTCAGCCATATGAATGTTTTCTAGCACCACTGTGACTGGAATGCCACCTAGCAGATGGCTTTTAGTTCTTCTCAGTGTGTGAGACATATTTTTGTATTTTTTAATGGGAGACACCCAAACCAGGGAACAACTTAAATGAGACCCATGCCAATCTCCCCTTTATATAGGATTAGACTATAGTGGAAAAATTGGAAATTCCTACCAACTACCAAATTCCAGCACGTAAAGGTAGGATTTCAACTATTGTCAAAAAATACAACTTTCAATATTTCCTAAATACACCAGACATTTCAATAATTTTCTTATTCATTCTAACTTTCATTCTTGCAAATATAATTATAGAATTTATGAGCAGTACAAACTATTTTTGATCACACCATGCACACACACAAAAAGGAAACAAGTCGGAACCATATCCAAGGAACATAAACCAGGATTCTTACATAAGAACTAAAACTGATGCAGACAGCATAATAGATCTACAAATAAATCTACACAATTACATGAAAGATTAACACTTGTTTTTCTAAATTCAGCAAAAATGGAAACCAGTTTGTACATATCTAGAGAACGAATCTTGAAAAGGAAAAAGAAAATTTAAAGAAAAACTTAAACCTTCCTTCAACTCAAATTTAATTTAGAAGAATTTAAACCCAAAAATTTGTGAAAGCCATCTACATAGTATATGAAGCAAAATGGCTGAAAGCAAAAGCCAGCAATTTCCAAGGAATTATACACAGAGGAAGCCAATGGTTGCTAGTACCCATCCCTTCCCTGAACAAGCTTTTAAAATGTCAAACCTTAAATATGAGGAGTATGTTTATTTGGTCCTTCCTGCCATTTCATCTCTCATTAAATACACGATACACTGTATGAACAAATAAACGCTGAAAACTGCATTTCCTACTAATAAATATAATGCAGCCTCCCTTTTCTTTGCCCAAAATAACAGAATGAGTATGGAGGAAGAAAGGAGTAAAAGTTCCAGTTTTGGGCACAGGATACAATTAAGCTGTGATACTACTGGCTCAGACCCTTCTTAGCTGAAGAGCATTCTCTTGCCATCTGCAGAATTTTACTGTTAGCATATTTGAAAGCCTAATCTCCATTAACCCAAGAAATAAGCCCCCTGATAAGGTAAGACGTTTTGAAAGATACATACTCTGTCATTGGTGGTTCCTGAACAAACGGATAGTATGTGGCTGCACAGCTAGGAAAGACGCATGCTTCTGAGGACTCTGACCATGCCACATTGAGCCCAGCAAATTTAGGGACAAACGGTTTGACATCTGCTGATAACTTGATGCCCTGAGGGGAAAAAAATGGGGTTTTGGCTCCACTCTGAAATCAACCAAAATTAACAAGACAAAAAACCCAAAGAGAGGTGCTCCTTCCTAATAGCCCCAGAAATGCTAATCCCAATGCTGTGGTTTAAAAACTTCTGCCTAGTAGTGAAGAGAATTTGTTTGCTAACAATTTCTTTCAAATGCTTTTGTCAGAAAAACCAGTTGTCCAAATAGTGACAGTGAAAAATATGGACAACCCATTAAAGTAACAATAAAATTCAAGCCAGATTATACAGTTAGGATCACAACTGCCATTTCCACAACTTTAAATTTGGAATAAGGATATTTCACCTCTGTCAGTTTTACTTAGGGATAACTAAGTAACTGTAGAATTACTGTAGGTAACTGTAGAATTACTGTAGTCAAATACAGATGTGGAATGTTTATAGCACCCAAAACACACTGCAAAGTTTATTTCACTAAATTTCTCAAAAGAAAGTTGCACAAAAACATTTGCTTTTTACTCATGAACCACCGTCTTGTTTTATTGAAAAAGCAAAAACTTGCTTTGATAAAAAAATCATCCTGTGTCTATGAGCCTCTGAGATTTGAATTTTTTTTAAGTTTTTAAGATATGTAATAGAAGATTTACTTTCACTGAGAATTTTACAACCATGGACTTTAAGTCTAAAACTAAGAGATGCGATTGCCAGGGCTCCATCTAGTGGTAACGTGGAGTATGCAGCGCGGAGACGACGTTTAAGAAAACTCAGAACGCTTCAAACAAGCTTCTCCGTCCCAAGAGCGCCACAAGCTTGCCGAGTCCCGCGCCGTGACCCTGCGTGCGGGACAGGCCCCGTCACCCGCACGTGCGGCGCCACACCCGACGCTGCCCGTGGGCGGGGTCTGCGCCCCCGACCGCGGCGCCCAGGCGGGCCCGGGGCGGGCGCAGGGATCCCGGCCGCCCACTCCGCGCTCCCGCGCCGGCACAAGCCTCGGCCCACGCCCGCCGGCCGGCCCCGTCACCGCACGACCGGGAACCCGGGGCAAGCCGGGCCGACGGGCTGAGGCCGCCGAGGGAGCGCCGGCCGGCCCTTACCTCGCCTTTGGGCTCTCGCGGCCCCTCCGACGCCATGGCGGGCTGCTCGGAGGAGGCCGCGCGGGGTGCGGCCCGCAGCCAGCCCGCCGGCTGACCCGACAGACGACGCGGCGTTTCCCCTTTCGCAGGGGACGCCAGGAAGTGCGTCACAGAAACGCGACGGGGTCCACCCCTCCTACCAGCCGGAAGTACGGGGCCTGTGCTCCACACCTCCGCGAGCAGCACGTGGGGGTTACTGGGGACTGACCCCTAAGAGCCCTGTGGGCTGGGGCTTCCGTGTAGATGACAGGCGCCTCACGTGTGCCCTGCAGTGCTGGGCTGTCTGCCATGGATTCTGCCCAGACAGTAGCAAAGAGAAACTTAGCATGAGGCCGTGGTTTACTCGTGTTCTCTGGGCCTGGCTTCAGATAGGAAAGTTCTTTGGATAAGGTGACCTGGAAAGGCCTCTGGATGAGGTGAGCAGTCACCTTAAGAACGTTTACTAGTAAGGGAACTGTGGGGAGAACTTGACAATACTTGACCCCCAATCCACGACTGCATTTCCCTAAGATTTCATAAGGTGACTTGGAATTGTACACCCTACCCTGTAAGTTCTACAAATCTGGAAAGCTTACAAGACTGCTGGCATCCTGAATTCCCAGAAACCTAAGGTTTGGGTAGCCACGGAAAGGAATTTAATTCCAAAATCGGTTTCATTCCTACATTAAAAAATGTGCTAGAACATGGTAAAGAAATGGAAAAGTAATTTGTCTTTCAGTATATGGGGGAAGAACTTCCTTTTTGCTCTGAAGCTTAATGCAGGCCATTTATCTGTAGAGGGCTTATTAGGTTGAGAAAGTTATAGGTTTTCTCTGTCTGACTCAGTGCAGACTGAATAACTACCAAGTATATTTTACACGGGAAATGCAAGCAGCAGCTCAGTTCTTTACCTCATTTCAGGCCTAGTGGGTTCCAACGTTTACAGCCAACCTCTAGGAGAGAAGCCTAGGGTCTGGCAGGAATCTGTACTGGAGGTAGAGGGGTGGCTGTCACCCCTCCGTCTCAGCAGTACTGTGTTTACCCTAAGAGCGTGATGAAGTTGGCTTAATTTTGGCATTTTTGTCTTTGTCATCCTGGAGCTCTCCAGATGAGGTGTCCTGTGGTGGTAACAGTAGTAGATTCTAGGCTGCTGCTCATTACCACCTTCAATATTTATTGTGCTGATTACATATAAGGACACCCTTTCTAAACAGAGGGGGTCTTATGTTTTCTCTAGTATAGCAACCACATAAGGTAACTAGCCTGTGTTGGCATTTAACTCAACATTTTCCTAGCAGCTAACTAAATAGGCAATCTAAATAGATGCAAAATACATATGGCATATGAAGGTGTTTTACAGCACTTTTTAACTCTTAAAAAATGCTGTAGGAAGGCTGGGCATGGTGGCTCATACCTATAATCCTATCACTCTGAGAGGACGAAGTGGGAGGGTTGCTTGAGCTCAGGAGTTCAAGACCAGCCTAAGCAAGAGGGAGGGAGACCTGTCTCAAAAAAAAAAAAAAAGCTATAGGAAACACCATCCCCACCTAGGAAATGAAGAAAAGGATAAACGGGGTTAAGGGTTTCTCCCAAGACTGTGAGAAGTTGGTAGTGGCAGTTCTCAGGTAAGTAGAAGTAACCAGACAGTATTAAGTTGGGTTTTTCTGTTCAACTGAAGATTGTAGATAATTCTCTAGGAACAAAACAATAAAGTGGTAAAATCTGCTTTGGCTCTAGTTTTAAACATATCCCTGGTTTCTTAGTTTCTTCCTAAGTGAATTAAATGGTGCCTCCACCATACCAAGCTATTACAAACTCATTCAACATTTTATTTCCTCAGGGCTAAAATTATAAAACTAAAATCAAACAATCTCGATAATCACAAACTAACCATAAGAAAACATTCCTCAATAACTTCAAAATGGTGGTAAATGCAACATACAAACTTTATTTAACAAAAGTAACAGGTAAAGTCAAACAGGCACTTACTTATATTAAGAGAAAAACTGACTAGAAGAAATTTTATCTTAAACACCCTATAGTAACTAACCTACTTGCAGTTGCATTTAACTGAGCTCTGTTGCTGTGAAGAATACAGCTCATGCACAGGTATGGATGAATGATTTGTACATTTTTCAAGTATTCACTGAATACTACCTTATATACACATATACATTAAATTTGGAAAAGATTTAATTGACGATCCCAGGTATACTTCATTTTTGTTGATCTTTTGGAAGAGGTCGTCTAAAGAGAAGAATATGCGGTTCTGTGGAAAAAAAATGTTTTGTATCATTTTAATACCATGGTAAGTTTTCATATACTCAATAAAAATTCAAGGAATTCTCAAACCAAAATAATTGAGTCCACTATTAAAACTGGTTCGAAATGTCTTAAATGAATTTTGTTTCAAAGTCACTGTCAACATTAAACAAGACAAACAACCCGATAATGAGAAGATCCCTCCAATATTTTAGTTTTACCCATTCTGAAGAAAAGAAATAAGTAAAAGAGAAAGGTTCTCTGTTTATGGGGAAAGACACCTCATTCAAATCACCTACTGGATCTCACACTAATGCACATTGGAAAACATCAGGAGCTTACAAAAATGCAAGTCCCAGGAGCCCATCCCCATAAATTGTTTCAGAAGGTGGGGCCCAGGAATCTACAGTTAGGTTTCTCAGTTGCTTTTGTATTAGCTAGAGAAAAAAAAACACTAGAATTTTAATTATGTTACCCAACTCCAAGAAAGGTGAGTCTTTTAGAGATTTTGATGCTATTTTTCTTTAAAAAAAGAATAAAAAGCAAGATAGCTTTATTTCCATCTACTTCAGCTTCTATGGCATGCCTTCAAATTTTATAGAAAGGATTATAATACTTTTAGATCCACTGTTAATCCATAAATATAATTTAATTCCAAAGTTTGTCTATTTTACTATTTAATATCTGGAAAACTTTTGGTTAATAACACATAATAGCATAAGGCATTCATACATGCATAACACAGGTAGAACAACATTTGAGTTCATATGCTATGTTTTCTCATTTAACCATAATGTGGTAGATACACAGGAATTCTAGCTATACGTATAGCAAAATACTTTAAGACACAAATTTTAAAATAGAATAGCTATTTTTTGACGTCTGTGATATTTGGTTTACTATGAAATTGGAACCCTCTCTAGAGGGTTAAGAAATCATTCTTTAAAAAAACAGTCAGACTTACCACAGAATTACCTTGGAATATCATTGAAAGTCAAAGTCACCAAAAAAATTTTTTGCCATAACTATTTTAACTTAGTTAATACTTTACTATAGCAAAACTTACCTGGCTCATGAATCATGTAATGAACCCAGCCTAGACTTTGTTGGACACCGAGTCTCCTCCACTCTTCTTCAGACATCAGATGGGTTTTGGGTACTTGTTTGGAAAGTTCTCTGGGTAACATGACATGCCTATTAAAAGATACAGCCAAGTATTAATGCTGTGTGCCTTTCCTACAATTATGATTACATATGAACCTTTAGGATGTTTAAAATTTGAGGCTTTTGATCCTCAAAAGTTCTACAAAGAAACTCTACGTTATATCCCCCCTTTGGTGTCAATCGAGTACTCCCTACAACCTTTAATTCTGAGTTTTGATGGCCTACATTCAAATTAGGGAGCTAAAAGCGAGCAATTCAAATCCAGAAGGCATTTACTTAGGACTAACTTTTGACCAAATCATGGCCAACAAGATCTAAGAATATATAACATATAAAGTGTTCTCAAAGGGAAAAACATGCTCAACTCTAATTAAATACACATATATATGTATGTGCAACCTCACAGACCTCATATTTTCAAATAAGCTACTGACCTATATCCAAAACTAACTTTATTCAGTTTCTTAGAAATGAAATAACCTTTAACGTTAAACCATAAAGAATATGTATGACTGTAGCTTTGTAAAACTCTTAAGAACAGATCTGCACTTAGCTGTTTATTACCATAAAAAGAACTTCACTTGTTACGTTTATGTAGATAAATTACCACCACCCCTACTTTCTCCATAAACCATGGAAATAGGCTCTTCATCAGCGTTTGATTATAAAGGAAAAATGTTTAAGTACCATCAAAGCCCACATGAGGATTCTACCTGAATAGTATTGCATGGAGGTAGTTTCCAAACTACAAGTAAGGAAAATTCTTTCCAAAATCCAATGTTTATTTCAGTTGGAGTACAAAATGGTACAATTATTAAAATTTGTAAAGCCACCCAGAGAAACCCTCAGTTCTTTGCCTGTGAAGATAGACTTCCATGATACTAGGGAGGGAAAAAAGAAGAAGCCACCCACTGTTGTGCTCTTAGAGAAGAACCTAAGCTCAAGTAAAAAGACTAGGTAATTAAGTTTGTAATCACAAAAGAAAAACCAAAGATATAAATAATCGCACACTGGAAAAAAGTTTAAAAAAATTTTTTTTTAATTTACATGGCATGCCACACCACTATACACAAACTACCCTAAACAGTGTAGGATAGTTTCTCAGTGGCGTATTGTCGCTATCGTTTCCCCCTTAGAAGTATCTCTTCTAATTATGAAGACTAATTATCTGGTTTCATAAAGGTAAGTGGCTTCGTCAATCAAGACCAGCTCTAATTTATACTGGATTAAAATAAATCACAACAGATATGACAAAATTTCCTTGTACACATTACCAATACAAACCATTTAATAAATTAGGTTTAGTGCCTATCATCCATGATTATGTGATTATATTAAGAATAATAAATGGAACTACTGCCATAAGAAGTCTGAGGAGTATAATTTTAACATTACATACTAAAAAAAAAACTTATACAGACCCATAAATCCTTATCCTAAACACTTAGAGACAGATGTGTTTCGGAATAGTTTTTCATGTGTTAAAGTATTATAGTTTATCATTAGGTCAATATATGATTACAACTGTAAGGGTTGTAGTTACTGTATAAAGTTCAAATAATCTACTTGAAATTTACTATAGCCAGAAAAACATATTTTCCTAGCGAGGGATATAAAACGGTGCCATTATTACTAATTTGCAAAGCTGCCCACAGAAATCTTCAGTTTTCCTCTTGTGATGACAGACTTCCGTGATAACAAGGAAGGGGGAGAAAAGAACACCTTTCTTCCTCTAATAGCATCCTTGAAATCTCGCCTAAAAGAGCAGCAGACAGAAAACAAAGTCACTAACTGGCCAAGGCTGGCACAGGCTTTATCTCCGTTAATCATGGCAGTTTCCCAGAATGCAGCGTTCCAGTCTCTACCCGGTAGGACACGGGGCTGCCCGGTCTTCGAAGCCACGCCCCAAACAAGTCTCCCGCACACAACAAAGCCAATTTTAAGTGCCCGGAGTCCAATTTGCTACTTTTACTGATTACAGCCACCACATTCTAGTGCACAGCTTCACAACTCAAAAGCCAAAAATTCGGCCAATCTACACTAGCATTAAAAAATTGGCTACGTCTACTCATGTTCTCAATTTGATCTTAGAATGAAAATAAACCCCCTTTCACAATGCCCTCAACTAGTAACGACTCGGGCCAACGCATGATCCCTAAGTCACCATACCCAACGAACATTATCAAGTCCCCACAAAGCTCATTTTTCGGGGCTCCTCCTCAAGGTTATCTCTAGTACCATCAGCCTCAAAAGTGAAAATGGCAAATGTGTTCCTCTGGCTGTTAGCGGATGAAAACCACCGTTCTAAACCAAAAACTAAAAAGGTCAACCCCGGGCAGCGATGGGCGGTGGCTGGCACGGAAGAGAAACCAGCCCCATCGCGGCAGCCGGAAAAGCAGCGCGGTTGCCGGCGGGGTCTCACTTAGTCCGGGTCTTGCTAGCACAGCCGGAGCGACGAGCAAGGAACGACCGCAGTCGCTCGGCGCCGCCCCGGGCCCGTTTCCCAAGTCGCCGGCTCTCCCGGGGGCACAAGACGCGGCTCCCCGCTCCGCGCAGGCCGAACAAAGGCCCAGCCGGGCCGGCGCGGCCGCGCACTCGGCGCGCCCGGCTCCCGGGCCGCACGGGCCGCAGGGACCCGACGCCGACCTCAGGCCCCCGGCCCTGACCTCCGGCCCCGCGCCGACCTCGGTCGCCCAGCCCGAGGGGGCGGCGGCTGAGGGAGCCGGCCCGGGTTTGCGAAGGCTGCTCACCGGTACTCGTAGTGCTCGTCGAAGTACTTGTCCGAGTAGTAGATCTGCTTGTGGGCCATCCTGCCGGCGCGCCGCGGAGCAGGGGGTCGAGAGCGCGAAGAGAGGGCGCAACGAGCAGCGCGTCCGTGCCCGTCCAAGGAAACGACTCCACTGAGCCTAACGACTGCAGGCCCAACGATCCCGATTTGAATCCGACAGCCCGCTACCGATTGGACAGCAGCACTGACCAATCACCTTCCGCGTGAGTAGGGCCGGCTGCCAACCTATCGTCTCCATCTTTCTGCGGCGTTCGCTTGCCAAGTCAGCCAATCAGAGCCCTGTTGTGAGGTTGAAGTGGAGGATTGGTATGGTGTCGGGACCGGGAAGGAGCGCCCTTGCCGGGCAGGGGCGTGGTCAAAGAAAGGCGGAGCCCAGACGCTAAAGGCCGCAGAGCGCGTGTGCGGAAATGTAGAATGTTCCAGGGTAGCTGAGCCGTTGCGACTGCTGATCTGCGGGGGAGTTGAGATATCGCGGGGTTTGGCGAGGCGGGGCACCGGGTTGGGCCGGGCCGGAAGCGCGGCCGGAACGGCTGGCAGCGGAAGCTGTGGGCCTTTAGCGGTGAGGGCGCCTCCTGCTGCCTGGTGCTATCTCGGGCTGGAGCCTCAGGCTTGGAAAAGTGAAGACCTGAAGGGCGGTGGGGTGCGGAGCGCGCTGGCCAGGGCGGCGCTGGGCGATGGCGGTGCCCCAGGCCGACCCTCCGCGGGGCGGCCGCGCTGCGCCTCTTGCAGTTGTCGGGGGCCTTTCCGCGCCCGGGCCCCGCGCCCCTCGCGCCGTCCGGAGAGTGTGTGTGGGCGCCTAGCCTGCGAGTCTGCGCGTGGGAAGCCGGGCGCGGTGGCTCACGCCCGCACTTGAGCTGCTCGGAGGGTCGCTTGAGCCCGCCAAGTTGGGACCAGCACGGGCAACACAGCAGGACCGTATCTCCAAAAAAATGGCTGGAAACGCAGGAAGCTTTCTGTAGTCTAACCTACTGTCCAAAACTAGAGGAGAATCCAAGGCATGGGAAGTTTGCGGGAATAAAATATTCTGCAGCCGCCAAAAATAACGTTAATTACTGGATAATGGGAGTAAGAGTACAGACTAGTCAGTTTGGGGCTGCTGTAGCAAAACCATGGGCCGGGTGGCTTAAACAAATTTCTCAAGGTTCTGGAGGTTGGAAGTCCGAGATCAGGGTGCTCCATATGTCGGTTCTGATGAACGCCCTCCAGGTTGACTGCTGACTTTTAGTACTCACACTGAGAAAGCAATCTCTTTAATGACATTTTTAATCCCATTCATGAAGGGACCACTGTTACAATCATCTAATCCAATCACCTCCCAAAGCCTCCACCTTCTTATACCATCGATGGGGAGAGGATACGTAGGATGGAATCATTTCTATTAAGGATTTCTTCTGAAAAGTCTTAATCACCTTCTAGAGAAAGTCCGATTTCTCCATTCTCTGTCCACATCTTCTGGGGGTCCCCTATCTGCACTGTGACGAACTCTGGGTAAAGCCTGTGTAGAGGGCATTTCTGTTTTGTTCGCTTCATTCTTAGCAAATGGAGTACCTTGCACTTGAGCACACAATAATAAATTTTAAATAAACTTTAGGCATAGTAATAAAAGCTTAAATAATTAGGTGTAATAATTACTATGATGGTAAAGATATGAATAAACTTACGGGAAATTGATAAGGAAATTACTAACTTTCTAGCAGAACCTGGGAAAGCAAAGCTTCCTAGGAAAAGTATTCTAAAAGAAATGTATAGGCTGAGTGTGGTGGCTCATGCCTGTAATCCTGGCTTTCTGAGAGGCTGAGTCTGGAGGATTGCTTGAGCTCAGGAGTTCAAAACCAGCCTGAGCAAGAGCCTGACCTCTTCTCTAAAAAAATAAAATAAATTAGGTGAGCACAGTGGCAGGTGTCTGTAGTTCCAGCTACTCTGGAGGCTGAGGCAGGAGGATTGCTTGAGCCCAGGAGTTTGAGGTTGCTGTTATGATGACACCATTGCATTCCAGCCTATGGGGCAGAGTGAGAATGTCTCAAAAAAAAAAAATGTATAGATGCTCCTCAATTTATGATGGGGTTACATCCTAATAAGTTGAAAATTGTAAGTTAAACCATAATACTTCTGGTTCCAAGCATTTTGGATAAGGCAATTAACATTCACCAATCATGTTTCATCTATTTTCATCTAACCTTTTTTTCTAGGGTATCTTTAAAGAAATCTCAGATGTGTCATTTCACTTGTGTGCATCTCAGGAAAATTTTTAAAAATATTTAGCCACTATGTCATTATTATGTTATATCCCTCAATATTTTTTAATAGCTGGTTTAGACTCAGATTTCCCTGATTGTCCCAACAATGTCTTTTACAGTTATTTTGTTTAAATCTGTTTCCAAACTTGGGCCTACATATTGCATTTGGTTATTGCCTCTTTTAGTCTTCAAACAGTCCCCGCACACATACTCCCTATATGTATACCTGCCATCTTTTAAATATAGATTTATCAAACCAGGTCATTGTGCCTGTGGAACATTTTACAGTCTGGATTTGGGCGATTGCTTCCTTGTGCAATTTACTTGGTTTTTCTATTCCTTGTATTTCTTACAATCTAGTATTTGCCCAAATCCACACAACTAATATGTGGCAGGCTCATAATTGAGTCCAAGCAGTCTGACTCCAGTTAGACCTCTTAACCACTATTTTATACTTACACTGTCTCTTAAAGTTCCCCAGGTAGAAAACCAAGAGGGTGAAGCACCTTTCAGCAGAAGGATTGGTGTTTGTGAAGGTGTGAGGACCATAGTACACAGAGAAAAACTGAACAGGTTTGGCTTATAGTGTAGATATCATGGAAAGGAAATTTGTGGGAAGTGAATTTGGGAGAATGGGTATTGTACACAGAAAAATGCCCCCCAAAGATGTCTCTATTAGTCCATTTTCTGTTGGCTATAACAGAACACCACAAACAGGTAATTTATAAAGAAAATGAATTTATTTCTTACAATCTGGAGGTTGTCAAGGGGCCACATTGGTGAGGGCCTTCTTACTGCATCATAACATGGCAGAGGGCATCACTTGGCAAGAGGGCAAGATCATGCCAGCTCAGGTCTCTCTTCCTCTTCTTATAAAATCACCAGTCCCATCATGGGACTGATGCCAGAGTTAGGCCTTTTAAACAGCCCCAACCCGATGACCTTATCTAATCCCATTTATCTCCCAAAGGCCCCAACTCCAAATGCCATCAACATATGAATTTGGCGATTAAATTTCCAACACATGAAATTTGGGGACACATTCAAACCATTGCAATGTCCATGTCCTAATTCTTGGACCTGTGAACATGTTAACCTTACACAGCAAAATGGACTTTGCATGTGTGATTAAATTAAGGATCTTTGAGATAGGGAGGGTATCTTGGATTATTGGAGTGGGCTAATGCTGTCACAGGGGTCCTTAACTGAGGAGGATGGGAGAGTCAGAGAAGAAGCTGTGGCCAAGCAGAAGTCAAGTGATGTGGCCATGAAGGAAGGAGCACAGATAGCCTCTTGAAGTTGGAAAAAGCAAAGGACAGATTCTCCCCTAGTCTCCAGAGGGAACTCAGTCCTGCCGATGCCTTGATTTTAGCCTGGTAAGACCTATTTTGAACTTTTAACCCTGGAAGCACAAGATAAATTTGACTAATGAAATACAGTAGCTCAGCATGGTGTTTGCTGCAACTTTGCTGTTACAGATGCCCCCTGTCATTGTAAGAATGCATCCCTTCATTCCCAGTGTGCTAAAGTTTTATCATAGATGTTTTATTTCATTAAATACTTTAAAGGTTTTTATTTTGTATATTTGATTAGGAATTATTTTAGAATTATCAATATAAATTATAAGTGTAAAAGAGATGAAAGGATCTTAGTAACTGCAGTCATAAGGAAAAGTCACATGGAAATATTGAAAACTAAATAGTTGAAGTTAAAATTTCAATAGGTAAACTGAAAGCATAGTGGATACAAATGAAGAACAAATTAGTGAACTAGAAGATTGTGTTGAGTTACAGCATCAGAAAGCATCCAGGAGGGGTAAAGAGATGAAGCAAAAGTGTAGAAGCTAGAAGTAGAGGTGACAACTGTGGTTGCAAGAAGAGTCCCAAAGGCAGAGAAAAAATAAACAGAGGGAAGGAAATACTTGCACAAATAATGGCTGTGAATTCCCTACTTTAAAAGAAAGATAAAAGACTTCAGATTGAAAGGGCTTGTAGATTACTGAACAATATAGATAAATATATATATATATATATAACCATAGAAAGATTATAGTGCAATTTAAGAAGATCAAAGACAAAGGAAAGTTCTAAAAGCTTCCAGGGAGAAATTGCAGATCTCCTACAAAAGGAACAAGAATAGATTTACAATGGCTCAAAAGCAGCCCAGGATTCAAGAAGACAAGGGTTACTATTCAGAAAGTACTGAATCAGAGTAGAAACAAATTCCATATAATAATGCAAAATGGCTTGGAAATAAAAGAAAACAAGTAACCTAGTACATTTATTGTTGCCTAAAAAAGCAGAGATGTAAAAAAGAAAATTATTGTTAACAATTTAGAAACCTGCATGGCTAGAGTAGAGAGAATAAGAGGGAAGTTAGTGCTGCGCTAAGGCACTTATCTTGGCAGCTGTTGGTAAGTTTAGGAAGGTGAAAGAGATTAGAAACCCATCACCAGAACTGTTGGCTGCAATCACTTTGTTCCTGCTACCATCTGCAGTAGCAAAATTATATGCATCAAGTATCACATCCCTCCTTGGAGTAAATTTTAAATTATTGTCACAAATACCTCCCATCCTGGTATGCATGTCCCTTTGTAATATGACATCACTACTCCTATCTGTGGAACAGATAGGCGAACTCTATTTCTTCACCCTTAGTCTGGTCTTGTGACTTGCTTTGACCAGCAGAACGTAGCCGAAGTAACAGTGCACATCTTCTGAAACTCATCCTTAAGAGGCATTGCAGTTTCTACTTTCTCGCTCTTGAAATGCTGCCCAGGAATGAGATGATCAGGAAGACACCTAGAAGAGAACTAAATTTCCTGGCCGTCAGTTAACAGCAGCTGCCAAACGCATGCCTGTGGTGCTGAATGCACCAAGAGAAATGAGGGCAGGAACTGCCCGACCACCTCTTGGAATACTCAGAAAGGATAAATTATTGTTTTAAGTCACTAATTTTGAGGGGTAGTTTATTATTCAGCAATAGACAACTGATACATGTCCCTTTTATCTTTGTTCTGAATTCAAATATCATAGAGGTATACCTGATGGAGGAATACCTAATTACATTCAGAATCACTGCAATGAAATTCAGGTCATGTTTTTTGTTTCCAACCTCCGTGGCTTTGGAAGTGTGTCAGAATAGATCATGAAGGAGACACATGAATTACATACTAATTTGAAAACCTAAGTTAAATAGATCTTTAAGCAAGTTTGTCTACATACTAGAAAAAGCAGAAAAAGAATCCAACTCATTTTATGAGACAAGGGTAACCTTTGTGCCAGAATCAGAGAAGGGAAAGAGTACAAGAAAAGCAAAATTACAGAGTCATATTCATTTTAAATGCAGGTGTGAATCTAGCTAACTAAACCCAACACTGTATTAAAAATTGCATCATTATCAAGTAGAGTTCGTCTCAAAAACTCAATAGCAGTGAATCTAATGACAGTGAGCCAGACTATCAAGGTAATTCACACGTTAATAGACAAAAGGAAAAAGAAATACAATGTCAGTACATGCAAAAAAAAAAAAAGCATCTGATAAAGTTGAACCCTGATGTATAATCAGAATAGAGAGGAAAACTTTCTTACTTGAGAGAGGTTATATCCAAAAACCTACAGTAAACACATATTTAATGGAGAACTTTAGACATATCCCTTTTAAAATTGGGAATTAAAATATACTGCTCTCGCCACATACAAATGTGATCATTTTCTATGTACCATGATGTGAAAAAGACTGCAAGCACTGCTATAAAGTATTTAAAACTTAACATAGCAATGACCGTGTAACATCTTTATGAAGACAACAAAATATCTATCCAAGTGTAAGGATATGACACATTTATGGTACTGCCAGTGTAATACTGTGAGATGTCAGTAGTGCCCAAATTTATGAATTCATTGCAATCCCAAAGAAAATTCCAGAGTTTTTTGACAAAGTTGAAAAACTTCTTCTACAATCTATATGACGGAATAAAGATCCATAAATAGCTAAATCAATTGTGGAAATGATTAAGGAAAACCATATAAAACAATGAAACAGAGAATATAGAAGTAGATGCATATGTATGTGGGCAGTGGATATTTGATAAGCATGAGCCCACATACCACTGAGGAAAGCATATGGTTGAGAAAATTGTTCCAAATATGTAGAAAATGTGAAAAAAAAATATAAGGCTAATAGATGTAAAAGCCAGAGAATACCTTTGTGACCTTGGGATCACAAGAGGCAGAATATTTACATAAAAGTAACCATGAGGCAAAAACTGATGGATTTGACTACAAGAAAAGTATTTCTGTGCAGTAGGGACACCTATCACATTTGCAAGGAACTTAACACAGAATTAAACTCAAGATTTTACCAAGAACTTTTATAAACCAAGAGAAAAAACAGAATCTTGACCAAAACTATAAATAACCAATTTACAGAAGAGAAAAATCTAAAAGGCTAACAGTACATGAAACTCATTTGTAATCACAGAAATGCAAATTAAAACAACTATGAGCTGCTTCTTTATACCCATCAAATTGGCAAAAATAAGAAGTCAGACAAGTGTTGGTGGAAACAGCAGAGTCCAGGAACCCTCATGTAGAGCATAAGCTCACAAATGCCTTCTGGAAGCAGACCGGCCATACTTAGTGAAATTAAGTATGGGTATCCCCTATTTGATAGCAACACCATAGAGGTTCTGTATTCTAGAACAGAATTCACACACATTTATAAGGTTCATATATCTATAGTTATATATCCCTATATCTATCTGCCTCTCCATAGCAAAATGATACAGTAGAAAGCATTAACCAAAAAACTAAAAAGTAGAATGAAATTTATAACTTTATACCATTTATATAAATAAAACAACCAGAATTGTTTTCATATAGAAAATAATATTATGTATTTACAATTGGAATTCAGATCCCCAGTGTCTATATCAAACCCATGATCATGGATACCTACATGGAAGAATGAATGGGAACAGGAGTAGTGGGTGATGGAGAACCAATACAATGAAGATGATTTACACGGGCCAACGATCATACAAATCCAGGAACTGAAAAGTGTGATTAATTCAATTCTCTACCCATCTGGTATAAACAAAAATTTTTTTCGATAAACTCAAAGTCTGGTTATGTATAGTTTTACCCATTTTTCTTGATACAATTGTTACTATTCCTTCTGAAACATTTTCTGTTAATTTTTCAGATGTGAAAAATTGGATTCTGCTAAATATATATTTTTTTTAATATAGAAAACCTAGATTTATTTGTTAAGCTATCACAAAGGCAAAACAATTACCATTTGAAGTACTTTGAGGATTTCATCCCAGTTTCACTTGTTTTGTTACAGAAAGTAACCTAAGATGTTGGAAACTAGAGGATATAACCCAAGAGGTTGTAACAGAGCAGACTGATGAAACATGGTGAGAAAAGCAAAAGCTAGTCAGAAGCACTTGTGTCAGGGACAGTGTATATGGCTGGAATATTTCCAAAGAGGCTACCTACAAATGCCTGAATTAGTAAATCTGGGCCCCAAATTAGTAGAAGATTATTGCCCCTGTGGAGAATGAGCAGAGGCTAGGATTCCTCTGAGATCTTACTTTTTAGGGATATGGGTATCCTTAAGCCCCAAAGAAGCACATCTTAGCTTCAACCTCTCTCTTTCCCACCCAGTCTACTTACACCTCCAAGTTTCTGTGCATTTCCACCACACAGGCCTTATAGAAAATGCATACAGTGAAGGCAGGAATTACAGACCTCCTCAGAGGGTATCTAGACACAGAGTTTGGGGGTAAATAATAAACTACAAACACCCTCTTGGTTAAGTTAATTCACCTTCGTTAATAAAGGTCATAGTTTCTTCTGCTGGTGGCAACTTGTTGTCTCAGTACAGTCTGTCTCAAGAAAGAACTGGTTCAGGTGAGTTTTGGAG